TACTTGGTACATTCGCCACCGCGACAGTCGTTGACACAATCTCTTTGAGTTCTGCAACAGGCACCAGCGGGACCCTTACCGTTCTTCTTACCAAAGTACTTCTTGACGGTACAGGTCTTGGAGGGGTTGTGTTCGGAATCACAAGCACCCTTGATACAGCTACCAGTACAATCGGCTTGGGTATCGCAACATTCACCTAAGACACCATAACCGTTCTTCTTACCGAAGATGGTGTTGTAGTTGGCACAAGAGGTACCGGTGGGGGCAGCACAGTCAGTAGCAGTGACAGTGGCAGTGACAGTGGTGGTACCAGTGACAGTGGCAGTAGCAGTAGCGGTGGCAGTAGCAGTGACAGTGGTGGTGGTGGTGGCAGTGGCAGTGGTGGTAACGGCAGAGGTAACAGCAGCGCTGGTGGTAGCAGCAGCGGTGGTGGTGACCTTAGTGGTGGTAGGGGCAGCAGTGGTGGTAACAGCCTTGGTGGTGGTGGTAGTAGTGGTGGTAGCCTTGGTGGTGGTGGCAACGGTACACTTATCGTTCTTGTGGGTGTTCCACCAAGCACAAGCACCAGCGAATTCAGCATTGAAGGATTCGGGATCATCACCAGCACAACCGGCCATACACATACCAGCAGTAGCCATGAAGCTACCGTAGTTGGCGCTAGTCTTGTTACACATAACAGCAAGAGAATCAATGAATAATTCAGACTTGGAATCCATGGTCCAACCGGGAACGAACTTTTGACCGGCTTTCTATAAAGCATTGAAGCATAAGTTAGAAAATATCACATATAATGAGAAAACTTTGAAATACTTACGACATTACAGGCAGTGTAACAAGCGGTGGAGGGAGCGACATCGTAAGAAGGGTTACAGTCAGTGGCAGCAAAGGCTGAGGTAGCGAAAGTGGCAATGGCAGCAGTGATGGCAATAGAAGAACGCATAATGAATGGATATGGTTGTGTTGATTTGGTAATAACGAAAAAAAAAAAAGAATTGCTCAAAATTGGATTCTATTTAAATAAAAAAAAAGCGACCCCCTGCTGATTATAATTTCAGAGTTACCAAAAGATCCTCTGTTACAAACGGACGAAAGCGGGCAATCTAACTTGCCCATTTGGCATATCAATTTGATTCTCAGTACAAAAATATAGCATTTGGCAAAAAGGGACTATTCGAGAAACGTTACACTAAATATGTGTACCAAAGGTTTTATCAGATTTTTCCATTGTTTCACACCATCAGATATCTTTTAAAAAAATTAGATCTGTGATCATCATTTACTCTTATTTCCTTATTGATGTGAAGTGTAGAACACAAGTTATGTCAATCATGAAGCTTTACTACAACCATAAAAAATATTAAAAAAAAACGTAGATTTTTTTTGGTTCAGATAATAGTTGAATGATAACTGATATACACACTCATAGTAAAAAAAAAATGATCGAAAGTACAGATTTATAAATCTCGGCATTTCTCCACGAGTTCGTTTACTATTCTTAAAAGACAGAACTGTAGGAATTTCGAGGTGTCACTAAGAAAGAGCGGTGTTACGTGAGAGTCACTGCATCTGATAAGATGGTTCTGCGGAATTTACATCAGATAAAAAAAGCCCTGACGCGGTTAAATAGACTACCCTCGTTCGCGGGATCTGGCAGCGGTAAAATAAATCATATTATTACAGGGTTACTGGGTGATTGAAATTTTCGGATGAATGGACTGCTATTACACACATTGTCTATAAACTGCCGATATCACTTTCAATTGTTCTTTTTGGGCTTTTCACCGTATAATGGCTATTGACATCGCCTAAAAAGGCTAATCACTTATAACTAAAGCGCTATAGGATTTGTCAGATATATTTTAAAAAAGATCAAACTCCCTTTTACAATAGAATATATTACTATATAAATTAGCCGTGGTACGCTCTGGCTTAACTTAAAGATTTTACAATTACTTTTCTGTATTGGGAAGATGCCGTTAGAATGTGTGGTAGTTAACATGCAATTGGTACGAAAGTGACAATAGTAAGATCCGGAACAAATAAGCCATGGAAAAGATAGCAATTAGATTTTTCGTAAGAGTAAAACTGGATTTGGACAACACGAGTTTATTTTTAAAACAAAAAAAAATCCCTGGTAGGCTCGTACCAATTAAAAATTATCTTTTATGGTAATAAGCACAGAAACAGTAGACGTATTTATTTGAAAAAACCACCACAATGATTGGAATGGTTTACGGGTTAGAAAAAAGAGGGTTTGATAAAATGTTTAGATCTAATAAAACGACTTTTGTGTATGATTTATTATATGAAAATGTTCTCACATAAAACTTGCGTTACAAGAAGTTATTAACGACCGCAAAAGTAATAAATCATACCACCATCAGATAGAGCCTTGTAACTATAATTGTAAAACTTGTTTAACTGTCATACCAACTTTACTCATATTTTACACATCACGATAGCTTGCACATTATTGTATGTACAATATACTCGACTATAACTTATTTAAATTTATACACAACGAAGATAGACTCTTAATTACTGATATGGGTGGATTTTGTTTTTACAAAACAGAAATTATCATAATTGTCTTATTATAGACTATGTATCTACGTTTAGCTGCGACGTTACATTATTGTCCATTTCTAAAAGATCAATTTCTATTTATCGAAACGAACTAGAATTCTCCTAATTGCCATTGTAGTTTATTTGACACAGTGATGCTTCTTTATATTATATATTGCTATCTTAAAAGCTTCCTTTGCTATTTCTCTTTTAATTTGTATAGGATAACGATGAAATAATAAACACAGAACTGAAATGGAATTGATCTAGATAACACTTATTGCTGAAAGGTCGATAGACGTAGCACAATTCCTGTGTCCAGACAAATTATTTTCTTTAAGATTATATGACCTACGCTGTCGTCATAATATTAATAAAAAGTATTTACGCAAGTGAATAAAGCCTGGGTACTCGTTTCTTTTGAATCTAAAGCAGACACTGTAATTGAAAATAATGATTATGACATAAGTTCATAGCGGGAAACTTTGATTTGGGTCTTTTTTTATATATACGCTCCATCTGGTTTTGTGATAGTTTTGTAATAGGATGAATCCGGTTCTCGGTGATATTAACAGACCAACTTTAAAACATTGCAAATCTTTTTTTTTTTTTTTCTATTTTTTTTTCTTGCTTTTATTTGGCTTTATATATGTTTTTTTGGCCGTATAAAATATGTTAGTATAACGTTGCAAGTTGTTGAGGGTTTTTTTGTGCGAAGAATTATTGGAGAATTTCAAGGACAAGCATATGATAATTACATAGTGTCACTCGCGGTTAAAGAAAAAAAAAAAACTCAATGTTAAATGACTCAGGAACAAATTTCGTTCTCAATTTTTTTTAAAAAATACCTTGAACAATTATTTTTGTCATAAACCCATATTAAATGGAATTGAGCTCAAAGTTTAAAGATACTAAGTATTTCTCTATTATAATAATCCATCACAAACTTATGTAAGCCGGCATATCCAATGGCAGACTCAATGAAGTAGAAGTGCTGATCTTGAATTATAGATTATCCCTAATTGTTGCACTGGGTCTCGGGACCAATAAGTTCCAGGTCATAAAAAAAACTGATGGCCAGATTTTAATATTCCTTGAGTGCGATTAGTTGGGACAAAATAGAAATCCAGGTAGATAATTCGACTAATCGTGTAACCTAGTACATAAAATTTAACGCCGCTGCAAAGATCGAATCACAAAAGTTATCAGATTTTTTAATAATAACACAACGCTACCGCGGTAGCACAATCTTGATCATTAGTAATTTCAAATGTCTAAAAAGGTGCGCTCAGCAAGATGTGGATTTTCTTGCAAAATAAATTATAGGTCTCTCCATTGGGAAACTGTCACTTTATATTATCATTAGAAACGTCGTTTAGGAAATTGAAATGTCAAAGTGCGATTAAACATGGATTTTCTTCTTTCTGCATGTGTAGGTAAGCACAATTGAAATATTTTCAAACTTTTCATATCCAACTGGACGTTATGTGTTCAATCGTATTGGTAAGCATTATAATGACATAAAAGTATAGTTGCCAGTGGGTTTTCTTTTTTTTTAAAAAATATACTATGAGGCCTATGAGCAGTTTTTGTCATATGTTATGGTCATCAACTTTTTAACAGACATCATCTTAAATTGTCATATTTAAACGACCAGCAGAGAAAATCAGATAGAAACACCCATAACTGTCATTTTATTCGGCAATTATTTCCTAAATCACATTTCTTGAAAGCGTATTTATCAAAAATTGTTGACTAGAGGAAGGACTCTACATGTTGATTTGAAAAAAAAAATGGAAACACACATCCTGATATGTGTTTTGCTTCCCCATTCTTAAATACGAATGTGATTTAAACGTAACAAGTCACAGAGTATCATTTCATAGCACTTTTTTTTACATTTTTCCTTTTTTTGTAGTCCATGCTCAAAGATTGTTTTCTTCCGTTCTCTTGTACTAGCTGAGATTCAGTTTATTATTTTAGAATAATATATCTTAATGGCCTTATTAAAATAATTTAATCTGTATTCCTAGTTCCATGCTTAAACAACATAACCATGAAGGACATCGATTTTATTATCTCAGATACATATAGAGATTGTATTAGGCTAATATCTCTTCAACATTTCTTTCTCCTGGCATTTAATTAATATTTCTTCAGAAGTGACAAGCCTATTGAAAAGAAAGGTTTGAATCTTTGCACTCCAGAGAAAATATTTCCTTTGCGTATGACAGAAAATCAAGGTGATTAGCTGATGAATCGTAGTTATCAACATTGTTTTATGTTTTGCAATGCATACTTCCATTAACTAACTGATAACTGAGCTTTTCAAAAATTCATTTAAACTTTTTTCAAGTCACGTCACTAATAGTTATTTGGAATATGCAACACTTTTTAGCAAGAGGTTTCGAGCTTAATCCAGTCGATTGTTCTTCGTTATTTGTCTCAGTTTCTCATTAGCTTGTTCTGAATTGCTATAAATGATAGAGGGACGAGTACTCACAGCCTGGTGCCTTGCTCTAAACGTATGGAGGGAGTAAGTTACAGTTTATATTTTATTCTATTATCAATTTAAGCTAATGTCCTGTGAAGACGTGAAGAGCATCTCCATTTGAAACTGAAGAGCATAAGACTGATTAAGCATTTTCTTTAACTTATCGGATACTGCACTAGATTCCTGTCAAGTAAAATATTAATCTCTGGTAATTAAGATTAAAAAGGTTCGCAAACATTTACCTCCTGTAATTCAGCATGCTGTTGTAGGCTGTTAGTTAATTCTTTACTTTCTTTGTTCTTGTCTAAATCTGTTAATTTATTCTTCTCTAACCAAGCTATTGTTGCATTAAGAGAAGTTTTCAATTCTTCATATTCTTTACGAGATTTTTGGTGTTTGACTAAATCAGGTTCTACTGTTAAAGAGGAAGCTGAGGCATCGGACACTGCTGAAATTAGCTGTAACATAGCTTGCCATAAGTTGGAAAGAGTTTTTAGTGCCTCATTGGCATTGTTGTAGACATCGACAGAAGACATTATATATAAGGTGGAAAACAATCATTTGAAAAATGGGCTGTGTTTGTTTTGCAAAGAAATCAAAACCCTTGGCACACCACAAATATTTTATTATTTTGTTATGTTAATCTCTTACGAATGAATGATAAACCATCAAATGCAGGAAGTACAACAACTTCTACTCTTGAATCCTTAAATACGTGTTGATTAAAATTATCAACCTTCTTTGCAGTTCTTTTTACGTTTTTGGAGGCATGCGATTCGCCATCGTAACCATCGTAACCATCAACTACTTTATGAACTTCACCATAGAATAACACTTTTTTACGATCATTAGCATGCATATTAATTTACATTCATTTTTATCTTGATATTACCATTATCAGCAACAATGACGCCATGGTCAGATAATAAGTTGTGGCTTAAAATCATTTCATAGTAATCGATATATCCACCTTTATCAGCATCTAATGGATGATCATTAGAAACTTTATCAATATTGAAGCACACTATCTTACCCAAAAAGATCAAATCAAATTGTTTTTTTGGAGATTCGTTGGCTATTTCAGTAATGCTTACGAGTACTGTTAGTATATACTACGTATGCACGTTCTTTTACATTACGTACCTGTCGCCTGCAGGACCTTCCTTGACTGAAACTTTGTCTTGTAAATTAGCTTCTTCAATAAAGCGATTAGCTACAACAATATGCTTGGGTTCTAATTCAAGTGACAATAACTTTGAGCCTGGTGATAAGGCTGCTCCCATTGCAATCGCGGAATAGCCCGTGAATCCTCCTATTTCAAGCACATTTTTAGGTTTCAAAATACCCACAAGCTGGTAAAGAAATTTTGCTTGAACAGGACAGACCATCATGTGAGGATTATCAAATTTTTCTTCTGTCTCCTTGTTTAAGGCCTTGAGAATATTACCATAGGGTTCCTTGAATGGAGAACTAATGTTGTCACAGTAGTGCGATTCTTCTACTCGCAATCGACCATTAGGATTGCCAACTTTATCATTTACATCGAACGTTGCATAACGGTGCTTGAAGGCGTAGCTTGGTACAGGTTTAACATATTTCGTGGAAAGAAATATAGATCTTGCAATGAGTCTGTTCATTTTGTCGCGATTCTTTTGGAAAAAAGCGAGCAAGGGGAGGACTTTCACTGGGTTTGATTTTATATGTACGTTACGATCAACTTTTAATCATGTTTTTTTCTGCATAATCCGAAACGTGGGTTAATTAATTAAAAAGGTATGTAAACTATTGCATAATTTTTTTTTTTGGGGGGGTGGGGAGGGCAACTTTTTTTTCAAAAAATCGCTCATTATCAGTTGTGTCTACCAAATACAGTGTATGTAAGGGTATAATTAATGTATAAGTAGTGGGTACGCAGACCACATGTTATATTACCTCTCTATCATCCCAAACCTTCTTTGTCATAACGGAGATATATTCAATAACATTGTCAAATGACCTGACCGATATGATCTCATACCTTGGAAACGTCACTGATTTGTTGTTAGTAACACAATACTATAAAAGCAGTTTCGAAAGCGTTAACAGAGAAATGTATAGCGACCACATAAAAACCATTGTTTCAAAAAAGGTTATACAAATGTACAGTCCCCTCCAAGATAAAAGTATCATTTTGCAACTCCGCGTCATTTTCTTCAAAGGACCCCCCGAAATAAGAAAGCTTTTATTCCTTGAGTTTCTCATTTTTAAAAATAAAGATCTTTACAATGCCTCAATTAAGTCCCACTCAAATAGCCTATGCAGTCGCGAAAAAGAATGAAGGCGTAACTATTGCCCAAATTGCTCGCGAACTGAAGTTTACCCATGCTGCAATTAAACGTGCGATTGAACGTTGTGAGAAATCAGGTTCATTTGAGAGAAAAAAAGGCCCTGGTAGACGTACGATCTTTACTGAAAGAGACAGATGAGCCTTACGATACTATGTGATTACTCATAGACGAAGTACTCTTGCCGAGATCATGGCTAATGTGGCGGTTAATGCTACAAAGAACACCTTTAGAAAAGAGCTTCACCGCCTCAACTTGAGAAGCCGTATCGCAAAGAAAAAGCCTTTTGTGAACGAGCAACCGAGGAAAATACGTCTTCAGTTTGCCAGGGACCACGAAAGTTGAACTTTGGAAGACTGGCGTCGAGTAATCTGGACAGATGAATGCAGCTTCCAAACTTGCAGTTCTTCTTGTCCTATTAGAATTCGACGAGGCCCAAAGGAACAAATGCTTCCTAGTTGTTTAGCACCAACATTTAAGAGTGGAAGGTCGTCGTTCTCTATTTGGGGAGGAATAACCTATAATCGTCGAACCAGTTTGGTTTTTTCAACAAAGGCCAGCAATCTAGCAACGACTTCATATAGCAGGTTTATGAACCAGTGTTGTTGGATTTTTACAACAGCTGCAGCACACCAGTATTGATGGAGGATAATGCTCCAATTCATACTGCAAAAGTTGCTAGTGAATGGAAAGACAATCACCAAATTGTTCGATTGAATTGGCCACCGCAATCACCAGATTTGAACCCAATCGAGAATCTTTGGATGATCTTGAAACGAGCAAAAGAAAGACGTTTTGAGTATGTTCGAAATATAGAATCATTGAGGATTCTCGTAGAATCTGAATGGAGCTTAATGGGCGTTGAAAAGATTAATAAGTTAATCGATTCAATGCCAAAACGAATGAAGGATGTGATCCGAAGTAAAGGATACCCCATCGATTATTGAGTAAATGAAAAAAATGGATTTTTATTTTTTTTTTTGTAAAAAATTGTATGAACACATTTAGTAAAGGCTCCTTATGGATTCCATATACATCTCACTAATTTTAAATATTTGAATGTCGAGTATATCCTTCAAAGTATATTAATCATACATCTGTGATGTATCGCGGAGTTGTAAAATGATACTTTTATCTTGGAGGGGACTGTACATCAATAAATAGAAGGAAAAGATGTCCTGTTGTCCTCAACTGGTAACCTTTCCCATCTGTCCATGGTAATTTTTTAATAATTTCTAGATTAAACTTTTTTTGAAGAAACTGGTCGGAAACACAGGAACGCCATAGTAACCCTTGTTATAAGCAAAAATAAAGACATCGCTGTAAAAAACCACCCAATCCCCATTAAATGGACTCCTGGCTGAACTGTCAATACTGCCCCAGCACCTAGTAAGCATCTAAAATTAAACAATGCGTTATTAAAAAGGTTTAGAGTACTTATTATTTAATGCTCCGACCTTGTTAGATTGTTGGATCCAATTATTGCTGCCGAATTATTCGGAAATAGATCAATAAGAAGTGTATTTGTCGCATTAAACGTTGAGGTTGCGGTGAATGATACTGTTTTTTTAAAAAAAAAAGGGGGGGGGGGGAAGCGGGTGTAAGAGCACAACATTTGATACTGTTAATTTTAACTTACATATAAAATTCAGTATAATGGGAACAGCTATGTGGATTTTATAAAATAAACTCCAGCCATACGCAATCATTGCGACATTAAATGCAATACCCCAGATCCACGTTATACCCATCCTTGCTTCTTTGATTGGAAAATCTTCAGGTATATTACTCCTATTTATCGTATTCTGCTTAAGTAAAAAAAACAGTTATGTCATAAAAATCACTTACCTGTTAGCATTTTTTTCATCAATCCCAAGAGACTTTGCAATCGTCTTAAATCTCCAATCGAGTATTCGTCCTGAGGTGTATGAGCCTAAAGAAGCACCGACTCCGTTTGATAAAAAACACAAACCCACTTGAACTTCGTTGATACCATATGCATTACTAAACAGATCTGTAACACTTGTAATCACACAATAGAGTCCTGCATATTGTAATGAGTTGTACAAAAGTATGATTAAAACAACTCTCTCCTTTAAATAAACCCAAGATTGAAAAGGGTTTGGTAGTACAAGAAATCGGCTTCTGGGTGGCTTTTCCTCATTTGCATTGTCTTTAAAAGGTTCTTTTGTATTATTACATACTGTAATAGATGAATCAAAACTCATTTCTGATCCACTGTTGTTGCATTCTACTTTTTCAATGTCCTCCAATTGTTTACTTGCTATTTTTCGTTCTCTTCTCCAATATTGTAATGGCGTAGGATTTGCATAGCCAGATCCGTCTCCCACTAATGCCCGCAAAGTTTCAGGTAAGAAAAGTACAATTGCAAACCAAAGTGGTGTTACCAGCATTGACAGTACCCAAAATATCCATCTGTCGATTTTTTTTAAAAAAAAGGGTTAATGTTGCTCTTTCTCCATTCTTGCGTATTAATTGCTTTTAAAATACCTCCAGCCTAGCCTATAACTTACAATACCACCTAAACAATTAAGTTAACAAATTAATTGCCTACGTTTAAAATATCCTGTGTTACCTAGTACAGGTCCCAAAAGTGGTCCGAGCATTGTACCCATTGAAAATAACCCCATATATCCTCCTCTCTCCATAGGCGTAGCTATATCACCTGCGCAATTTTTTAATATCCCGTAAGTTTATACCATTTTGAGTCCTACCTATGATACCGGCTCCAACAGCGATTGCAGAGCTTGAGCCAAAGGCCTGCAACATTCTCAGAATAAGCAAGGTCACATAATTTTTAGTACACGCTAGACCAATGCAAGCGAAAATATAGATCAAAAATGTCATAATATACACTGGGCGCCTTCCCCAGCTATCGGCTAGACTTCCCCAAAATGAAGGGGATAATCCTTGAAAGATCATATATACAGTTACAGTGAGATAAACCATTCTTTCGGTGATGTTCAAATCCTAAAAAAATGATAAATGTGTCAAATGTACAGTACTAATCACACCATCGCCTATTAGCCTTACATTTTGGATGACTTTTAAGGCTGGATAATATATATTTGCTGAAAATGCGCTGACAAAACTCGATAAAGATATAATTACTACAATTATTGCTTTCTTTCTTGCTGTAAGTATAGAATAAGGGGTGTCAGGGGATGTTGTATTAGTTTTGTCGTGCTCTTCACTAGCATTGGCAGTAAGGGGGTTGTCTATTGTTATAATTGAATCACAATTTGGATCCTGGCTTGCGTCAGAAGCGGTATTATTTTTTGGAATTGGTAGACATTTGGCTTCCGGCAAAGTTGAAGACATTATTTTTTTATAACAACAAAGAAAACAATTGAAAAGTTGGAGAGAAAACAGGTTAGAATTTATACATACTCCAAATCCCAAATTAGGTTTTCCAAGGGGTTGCGATGCATGAAATCAAACGCGCCAACACTAATCCCATCATGCTGGTGTGCCGAATCTTAGAGAGTTGCAGTAGCATGATATACCTGAACGCTAATTTATTTTTGATTGGATAACATCGAGTTAGGGTTGAGCTTTAAATTATTATTTTTTTTTCGAAAAACTTCAACAAATGTACGTTAAGTTTTAATAAAACGATGCAGTATGTGTTTCGTTCCCCCTATTAGACGACTGTTGTAATGGTATATGCAATGTATTATTAGACATCAAGATAAAAATGTTGTACCGAGGCGTGTCTATTCATCCCCTGTAAAAAACGAAAGGATTCTCCTGGCTTGACAGATTGTCAAAAATGAATGTTGAAGCATTCCTTGATTTTTATGGTGTCAGTTGTTTTATAAATTACTCATAAACGTGTTATAGAAAGTAATTTTATACAAAAAAGAAGGGTAGAAGTTACGAGGGAAATAATGATGCACATTACATAATGACACGAAGTTTAGCCTTTTGCATGATGAGCTCTGGTGAGCTTGTAAGGTTATACAACTCATCAATCAATGCGGCACGGAAAGTACCAGGTCCATTCACATATTCACGAGCAGCGGCAATTTCTGATGCAATGGTAACAGTAAGAATACCAGCAACAGTGGCCAAGAGATAATCGTCACGGTTGGCGGCAGCATAACAAGCGACGACAGAGGAGACCATGCAGCCACTACCTGTAATCATTGGCAATAATGCATCGCCGTTTTCAATAGCAAACACGCGCACGCCATCTGAAATGTAATCTGTAGCACCGGTTAAACCAATAACACAGTTATTTTGTTTAGCAAGCAATTTCACAGCATCCACCATGACTTGCTCATTATCATTTCCTATCGAATCAACGCCTCTAGATTTCCCTCCAAGACCTGCTAATGACAGGATCTCGCCTGCGTTACCCTTTATGACGGTAAGATCACATTCGGTCAAAAATCTTTGCATAGTTTCTCTTCTGAACGTGGTTGCTCCACATCCGACAGGATCTAACACGACAGGATTTTTATTGCGTGCGTTTTCCTGTGCTGCTAAAATCATTGTGTCAACATCGTTCAAAGTTCCCATGTTCAGCAGCATGGCACCATTTACTGCTGCAAGCTCCTTAAGCTCTTGGCGGTTAGTAGACATAATAGGTGATGCACCGACAGCCAAGGTTGCATTGGCATTATCATTAATAACAACATAGTCTAATAATTTAACATAAATACATGATCATAGTACAATATTGACATATAGCTCACTAGTAATATGATGAACCATGGGAGTCATGGTCTTGATATTTTTTGTAGCTTGGACAGCATACTTGAGGGCATCTTCAACTGTATCGTTAGCCTTAACGCCGACGACGGCTAAACTTTTACGAATTAAAGTAGATAATTCCTCGCAGGCAACCTTGGGATCTTCGGCAGCCATGATGGCAGAAACAATGGCAAGACCATCGAGGTGAATGTTACCAGTGTCCGATTCTTCAATTAATTTACAGGCATTGGAAGCACCGATGCCACCAATGGCAACAGTAGGAATAGGATTGGTTTCCATTGACTTCAGAATTCCTAATCCACAAGAGTTAATATAAAAGGTTACTTTTCAACATTGTTCTTTACTTTTCAATCCTTCAATTTCTAATGGCTTCTTAATGTTCTTTTTAGTAGAGGTAAACCAAACTGCACCAATACCGAGATAATCGGCACCATCACGAATGGCAATGAAAGCTTCTTCTGCAGTATTGCAAGAGACGCCAATAATCTTTTTAGGGCCTAAAATTTGACGTGCTTGAACTAAAGGCATATCATCTTGGCCAATATGGACACCCTCGGCATCAACAGCTTGAGCAACATCAAGACGATCATTAATGATAAGAGGAACACCATATTTGCGAGTTAACTCTTTGACCTTGTAAGCAAAGTCAATAAAGGGACCTGTCTCGGTGTCCTTTTCACGTAGCTGGACAAGGGTAACACCACCTTCGAGTGCTCTTTCGATTTGACCAAGGAAAGTTTTTCCCTCAGGGACAAGGGAGCGATCAGTGACGAGATAAAGTGAGTAATCGATTTTTTTAATAGACATTTTGTTGGGAAGAAATTCTAATCAGATTGGGACATACATAAATTCGAAATGAGATTACTATTTCCCCGGTCACATGTTTTTTTTAAGATTGACAAAAATATAAAGCACAAAATAGAGAAAAGAAAGTCTAATATATGGTTTTTTAATATGGAAAATATAGGGGAAAAAAAAAGAAAAGAGATGCAAATTATTTAGAACTAGTGATGGCCAAGTTGACCTTGGGGGGAACGGCAAAACCAAATGATTTAGCGACCTTAGCAAGATCAAGGTTGTCGACATCAAAGATTTTCTTGTGGTGATATGTGGCATAGGCTTGTAAGTATGATCTGAAGGCATCACGAGCAGATTGGTTAAGATAGAAGTTCTTCTCGATCAACTTTTCAAGCTGGCTTTGCACATTAGTAATCTTACTGTTGGGGAATTGGTATTCGTTCAAAGGAACCTTGGCATCCTTCAAGTATTTTAAGAAACCAATTTCGCTAGGCAGTAAGAAAAGTAAACTCTTACCCTTACCACCAGCACGAGCAGTTCTACCTACACGATGAATGTAATCACGAGGATCATCTGGGGGATCAAATTGAACAATCCAATCAACAGCAGGAATATCCAAGCCTCTAGCAGCAACATCAGTACATAACAAGATACCCTTTGAAGCTTCGGAAAATTCAAAGAAGGTAGATGTACGCTTTTGTTGCTTTTGACGGCCATGTAACTCCATGACTGGGACATCGATATAATTTAAAAGTTCGGCGTAGAATTTAACAGCGTTACAGTTTGAGAAGAACACAATCACCTTCTTCTTTTGGTTCTTGCGTAAAAATGTGAATAATAATAAGAAACGCTTATCGGCCTCGACAACAACAAATCCTTGTTCTAATCCGTCAGCTGTTGAGCTTTCCTTCTTCTCATCGACATTAATATAAAGTGGTCCAGACTTGAGTGAAATACGTGCAAGGTCTGACACTTTGGTAGTTTGTGTGGCCGAAAAGAGCATACTTTGACGCTCGTTGGGTAAAATCTTGACAATTTGTTTCATCTCTTCCTCAAAACCAATTTCCAAAATACGATCAGCTTCATCAATGACAAGAGATTGTAAGTTCTTGAAGACAAAACCTTGAGAGTTCTAAATGTATACAAATTAGTCCTACTGATAACTCTTTTCGCACACACAAAAAAAAAACGTACCTGTAAATGATCCAAAAGTCTACCAGGTGTGGCAACCAACAAGTTGACACCCTTGACCAACTTCTCGGTCTCAGCCTTTCTGTTGGAACCACCAATAACTAAACCATGAGTGAGTTGATGATATTTACATAATTCTTCGGCAACACCGTAAATTTGGATGGCTAATTCACGGGTAGGGGAAACAATAATAACACCGGTACCGTTTCTAGGTTTAAAGTTCTTACGAAGTAATAATTCAATGGCAGGAATCATGAATGCAACTGTCTTTCCTGATCCAGTTTTGGCAGCACCTAAAACATCACGGCCTTCCAAGAGAGGAGGAATGGTCTTGGCTTGAACTTCGGTCATTTGAGTGAAGCCCATATCTTTAATGGCCTTTTTTGTTCCTTCGCTACAATCGAGGCTTTCGAAATCGAGATTCAAGGTTGCTTCGGCTGAGGTAAATTTTAGTGTGTTAGTTTACTTTATTTTTCATTTTTTTTTTAAGGTCGATCTAGATCTAGAATAATATTTTACCTTGTTCAACAGGTGCCTCTTCGACAGGTTCGACTTCAGCAATAGGCTTGGCTTCGGCAACAGGCTTGGCTTCTTCCTTGGCAACATCTTGCTTCTTCTTGTTGCCTCTCTTGTCAGCGTGAGAGCGCTTACGCTTTTTATTTTCAACAACTGCTCCAGCGACCATTATATAAAATAAAAAGTTGCGTTATGTCAAAAAAGTAATGATTAAAAAAAAATATGCTCAAAGAAAAATTGGGATTTATCCATGGTGGCTTGATTTCTTGTCCAATTGTGACAGCTAATCCCCCTCACAGCTCTCATTTTCCAGCCTGAGGGAGGACTTTGATTTTGCCAATAGCTAATAAGCCATATGCATGATTATCTAAATAAATTAATTATTACACTCTGACGTAAATAAATTTGATTAAATAATCAAATCTTGTTTCAAGTTTCTTATTTAATCAGCATAAAAAAATAGCCCCCCTTCCTTTAACCTTTCTTTTTCAAACTTTTAAAATTTGTGGTCATAACCTCGTTTATCTGTGACTATAAAAGATGCCCAAATCTCTCTACTACCTAATTGCAAGGCCAATGCTGCGAAGATACAGCAATACAAATTTAAAATAAAAGCAAGACAGGGATAGTGTTTTCTTATCAGTAGCCTTCGTACTTTAATAGCAATAAAAGACACGCACGATAGTTAGAGAGGTACGCAGAAATAATAGAGTAATAGAAACAAGGATGTAGTTTAATGAACATAAAATTCACAGCTCAAAAAATAAGTGGGCGTCTTATGATACATATAGCCGGATTTGGTCTAAATAACGTTTAAGTACCTGCAAGGATAGCGCCAAAAAAAACATTGGTTTATTTTGAAGATGAATCATCCTGGGATAGGTGAATTGAAAAATATGTAAGCTAGACTAGAAAAATCTTTTCCAAGTCTGCCAAACACACACTGACATGTTTCAAACAAATATTTAGGATAACTAAAGCTGAAAAAGCGTTATCACCAGCAACATTTTCGGCGCAGCAATAAAGCTCGTTTCTGCCTAAACCTTTTTTTGATTATGCCATGTTGTAGCTTCGGTTTCACTGATAGTCTCAGTATATGCACGGCTTCTTATTGTTGTCTTCATGAAGATCAAGCTTACTTTCATTTACAAGCTTTGTACGTGTGTTGATGCCATTGGGGTTTTTCGTAAACATCAAGGTCAACTCTGCCTGGCTGACCAGCTGGTTAACATGGTTGAGTCGTTTTCTAAACTGTTATTGTTCTTCTTGTTGCTGCTCATCGTCAAACGCTTGTTGGTGCAGTGCTTGAACATGGCTGCTTTTTATGTATTTCTTGATACCAAAGGCATAATCTTGAACGTAAGGGTGTCTGACTAAAATTTGGCTTATCACGTCCAAACTATCTGAATAATATGCTGCGACACTATTTGGAACTATCAGATCGAAATTGCACCCGTTTTTCAAGGTTATTGATGAGAACACATCATGGGCTTTATTCGCCTTGCAAAACTTTTTGTCAACGGTGAAGTTCTCGTACTTCTTGGTTTATGCATTGGTGTGATTCCATTCCTGAATCTTTATTGTTGTCTTGTTCCTGGGTAGAGGGGCAAGCCTCTCCCCCCTCCCCCCTCTCCCTACCCCAATTCCGGGGGTAAACTTCTGGACATCCTTCGGAAACATTTCAAAGGAGTATGAAGTTCCGGTATGAGTTATAGTATCTCATCTGAATTTCTGATTTTGTCCTTATTGCTGAAGATTCCAATGAGTCTCTGAACATAATGATATTAAACAATGATTCAAAGACCAATGGCAGGTTCGAATGCTCGCTTGGAAAGACAACAGTGAACTGATGGATGCATACGTGATATTGGTGCCTGGTGCCATGGACAGTGTAAAAGTCGCATGATGGACCTGAGATTTGAATCACCCAAGAGAATACACGGCTGTTTTGAATGACATTGAGAGCTGCAGTTTGCATGATTTTGCCCTCACGCAAAAGCTTTGACATATCATGTTGGATTTTGGCTTCGGGTACAATTGGGATGCATGCCTCGGCACAAGCAACGTCAAATTCCTCCATTTCGAAATCAAGTAAAAAGCGCATGTCTACCTTGAAGCCGACAATGTTTCGCGAGTCTGTATAAACAGATGCTTTAGACTCTGTTGACTCGGATAGGACAGTTTCTCCTACTTTGATTCGAATTATTTCATTGTTGATATGAAATACTTTTTGGAATATAGGTAACCAGAGCTGATAACTAAAGTCCCTTTCAGATATCTTGGCCTTATTATTTTTGTTTAACATAAACTGCTTTGAATCTAGCAAGTAAATGATTTCCCTAAAAAAATCAAGTACGCGCAGCTGATCTCTCGTGGCAGAGGCTGAAGATTCTAGAGTGCTGATGTATTTTTTTGCCTTAAATGAGTCTTTATCTACAATGCATAATTCTGAAATCATTTCCCAGCTGTCTTTTAGGGAAGCAAGAGAATCTGTTGGACTTATCATCAAGGAATTGTACTTGCTGTTGAGTTTGTTCCATGTATCTGGCGTGAATAAAGCTCGTTGGGAATGTCGCAAGTCTTTTTCCGACAAATCCAAAACATTTGATAGACCGCATTTCATCGTTTTTATTTGGTGGTAGTCTAATTTGTGTCCGGATTTGTACCGTTGATGAAGATCTTTACCGGCCTTAAAGATAGTGGCTTGTACATTTTTTTCCCATTGTGCTAGTGCTTGAGTTGGCTCTATTATCAAATGAAACAATGTCTTCAATAACAGTATCTTCAGTAGTGGTGGATACTTCGGTGTCGTTGGCTTCTTCATTGTCAGTGTCAGTGTCAGTGTATGCGCGGAAGCCTGTGTATGCAGATGCTTTGGGTTCGGCTCACTCCGACAAGACTGTGTCGTGTCTATATCACAAGATTGCTGATCTTATATATATATATATACATTATGGAAGATTACATCGAGTCTCTGAACGTAAGGATATTCGATAAATATTCAAAGAAAAATGGTAAGCCGGAATTTTTGATAGAAAAGACAACCTTAAAACTGATGAATGCAAATATGATATAGATACTGCATGGTACCATCATAAAACAGTGTAGAAGCTGCATACTGGCTCACCCAAAAATAAGAATCACCCAAGAAAAGATACTGAAATTTCGTATAGCATTGAGGGTATCAGTCGGCGCATTTTTTTCTTCATATAATAGCTTCGACAATGTCATGTTGATTTTTAACATCGTGGACAGATAGGATGTGATGTACTACAACTCAAGATGTCATTTTGCGACATGGAATTATACTCCATTGGAATATTTCAGAAGGGGGGGGGGGGTTAAGAGGGGAAAGATTACCCCTCTACTCAAAAAAGAGACTCAACCATGCTAACCAGCTGCTCAGTCAGGCGAAGTTAACTTTGGAATCTGCTGAAAACCTTAATGAAATCAACAAACGTATAAAGCTTGTAAAGGAGAGTACGGTTGATAATCAAGATGACAATGAAGAAGCCAACGACGCCGAAGTATCCACCACTACTGAAGATACTGTTATTGAAGACATTGTTTCATTTGATAATAGAGCCAACTCAAGCACTAGCACAATGGGAAAAAAATGTACAAGCCACTATCTTTAAGGCCGGTAAAGATCTTCATCAACGGTACAAATCCGGACACAAATTAGACTACCACCAAATAAAAACGATGAAATGCGGTCTATCAAATGTTTTGGATTTGTCGGAAAAAGACTTGCGACATTCCCAACGAGCTTTATTCACGCCAGATACATGGAACAAACTCAACAGCAAGTACAATTCCTTGATGATAAGTCCAACAGATTCTCTTGCTTCCCTAAAAGACAGCTGGGAAATGATTTCAGAATTATGCATTGTAGATAAAGACTCATTTAAGGCAAAAAAATACATCAGCACTCTAGAATCTTCAGCCTCTGCCACGAGAGATCAGCTGCGCATACTTGATTTTTTTAGGGAAATCATTTACTTGCTAGATTCAAAGCAGTTTATGTTAAACAAAAATAATAAGGCCAAGATATCTGAAAGGGACTTTAGTTATCAGCTCTGGTTACCTATATTCCAAAAAGTATTTCATATCAACAATGAAATAATTCGAATCAAAGTAGGAGAAACTGTCCTATCCGAGTCAACAGAGTCTAAAGCATCTGTTTATACAGACTCGCGAAACATTGTCGGCTTCAAGGTAGACATGCGCTTTTTACTTGATTTCGAAATGGTGGAATTTGACGTTGCTTGTGCCGAGGCATGCATCCCAATTGTACCCGAAGCCAAAATCCAACATGATATGTCAAAGCTTTTGCGTGAGGGCAAAATCATGCAAACTGCAGCTCTCAATGTCATTCAAAACAGCCGTGTATTCTCTTGGGTTATTCAAATCTCAGGTCCATCATGCGACTTTTACACTGTCCATGGCACCAAGCACCAATATCACGTATGCATCCATCAGTTCACTGTTGTCTTTCTAAGCGAGCATTTGAACCTGCCATTGGTCTTTGAATCATTGTTTAATATCATTATGTTCAGAGACCCATTAGAATCTTCAGCAATAAGGTCTTGTCGGAAACGAGGTTGGTCAATGAAGACAAGGCCACTTCGCCTAAAGACTAAAATTTGACTACGGGACGTTTTAACTGCAAGAACTTTAATACAATTGCTATTAGAGCTGGAATTACCGCCACTGTTGGCACCAGGCTATCTCTCCAATGAATCCTCGTTCAAGGTACTTAAATTGCACTGAAAGAGGGCCTTCGTCGTTGTCCTTTGTTTTGTTGTATGTGAAGATTGACGAAAATAAAAAGGCGTCTGCCTTTCTTTTCAAACCAAAAAACACGATGGGAGATTCAAGGGATCAGGCTTACTGTCTGACCTATAAAGAGCTATTCAATAAGAAGAAGAGGTAGGTAATAAGCTAAATGTTAAATCATCACAGGATACTTATATATACATTTGTAATAGTACCATACGGCTTTTTCTCGAAAAAAAAAGTCAGATCTGTAGTGATTACAGCTATAGAACAAAGAAGAGCTCTAGAATCCCCCTCTCCAATGAACAGAATAATAATAATAAATGTGTGTCTGAACATCTTAATAGTAGCAATTTTTATTCATAGCATAAGGATTTAGGAGACAAAATATAGTTTACCTATTAGATAGCATAAGACATGGGTGTCTAAAAAAAATGTAGCATAAGCGTCAAAGTTAGGTTTAAATAAAATGGGATTTTGACATTGAGCAGATCAAATCATTGTTACTACTCATGTGGGCCTACCAATTTTTCGGCTTTTCAATGTATTTTTTTTTTTTTTTTTTACGTGACCGCGCTAATCCGAATCCAACCGCACAGTGGGGGAAGGAGTGTAAGTACGATGGAAGCCATGGTGAAATTTAAATCCTCCTCTTTTCCCCTTCACCAAAAGCAACTGGTACGTTACAGCATACAAAAAAAAAATAGTGATACAGCTTGATTTGATAATGGATGGATGGATGGATGAAATGAGAACCAGCTAAATACGCGAGAAAAAAAAAAAGAGCCAAAGCAATTTTAAAAAAAAGGGAATGGGCATGTGAATGTGTACATTGATCAATAGATCAAGTATTATGGCTGGGTTCATTCTTATTCGTTGTCCAAACCTACCAATTTATCAACTGTGGACTGTATGATTATAGCTTTTTTTGAGAAACGGTTTATACTAAATTTTAGTGTTTGTAGGGCGTTTTTTTTTAAATCAACAATGAAGGATATCTACAAGCAAGACGAACTCGCCATCCCTGAGGGTGTCAAGGTCGAGATCAAGTCTCGTCAAATCACTGTTGAAGGTCCCCGTGGTGTTCTTAAAAAGAACCTCCGTCACTTGAACATCGAGATCACTCTCGTTGGTGACAAGATCCGTTTCGTTGTCCATCACGGTCTCCGTAAGCACGTTGCCTGTATCCGTACTGTCCGCTCTTTGATCAACAACATGATCGTTGGTGTTACCAAGGGTTTCGAATACAAGTTGCGTTATGTCTACGCACATTTCCCCATTAACTGTATCATCTCTGATGCTGCTGATGCCGTTGAGATCCGTAACTTCTTGGGTCAAAAGGTTGTCTTCCACGTCAAGATGCGTGAGGGTGTCACCGTTGAAGCCTCCAAGAACCAAAAGGATGAGCTTACCATCACCGGTAACTCTCTCGAGAACGTTTCCCAATCCGCTGCTGATATTCAACAATCTTGTCTCGTCAAGAACAAGGATATCCGTAAGTTCTTGGATGGTATCTACGTTTCCGAGCGTAACGTTATGGAAGCTTAAATTATCTTTCTTTTAATTTTACTCTTTGACTTTTACAACTTTTTTTGGATAAAAAAAAACCTTGTTTTTGTGTTTTTTAATAAATAGAAGAACTTTTTTTTTAATTCTTAAGAACAACGCTGCGTGTGTGTGTGTTTGTGTGTGTAGTTGGCAAGGCAACAATGATATCTTTTTTTAAAAAAAAGGAAAGTTGACAGGTCTAAATAATAAGGAAGGGCTAGAAACTTTTATGCGGAAATTCGCATCATTAATGAGAAACAAAATAGAAGAGCTGGTTTGAGACACTACGTATGATGATCTTTTTAAAATGCATTGATGTGGGAGAAATAGTTAGATTGGAGTGGATACGAGTTTGGACCTTATGCCCGTATTTCTATTTGTTCGAAGATATTTGATTCCAATGTGAGGCAACACTGTTGGTATCTATGCTACGACCTCTAATATTGAGTCCCCCACATGTTTCTTTTGGCCTGTTGTTTGTTCTCGTCATATCTAAATCGGAGACTTGATATTTTTTTTTTTTTAGTCTAGAATGATTTTTAAGCAGCCTAAGATATACGAGGGAGGTATTATCTTCTTACAATTCCAAACAATGGCAATTACTCATCCATGATTATGTAATGACAAACTCATGTAGAATGATTATTTTGCAAAAAGAAAGTTTTGAGCTACGGGTGGGGGCTAGTAGTTTTCTTGGAAGGCTAAAAATCTGAGGCTATTATTTAAATCATTTGTAAAAGATTTGACAGAGATAAAGGGCGAATTCAAACTCGGCAATAGTGGCTGGATCAAAAAAAAATTAATAATAGATTTTTATGTGTATCGTAGAACGAAAAAGAAGATGGGATAAATGTGGATGAGATATTTATGATTAATGTGTATGAATCGATGAGTGTCTATCCTTTTTTTTTTTTTCACTCCAATATACATATTATTGTTAGTTGTTAACAACAACAACAAAAAAGGGGGGGCCTTAAAAAAGGGGGACAACCTGGGATGGGTGTGCAAGTTGTCCCACATAACAACAAGAAATACCCCGAGCAGAGTTTCATGGCCGACGAATATCGCCAATCGAATAATAAAAAAAAGACTCAATGAAACAGATTTCATTGGATAAAGCATGCTTGGATTATCAATAATTGTTTAAACTGTCTCCGATCAAGTTCCTTATTGAGGACTCAAGGGATAAGAGAAAAAAAAAATTTGTTTATAAAACTAGTCAATTTCGACCTCCCTTACATTTTACTTTTTTTTTTTTGACAAACGATCAAATTATTTTTTTCTTCTCTTCTTCTTTTTCTTTTCCTCCCCCCTTTTTTTTTTTGCTCTAAGGGCACTAACATTAACAACATGGTTCATCTATCAAATCTATTTCACTTTTCATCACACCGGAAGAGTTTTTCAACAAACAGCAGTCGTCGAAATTCAAGAGATTCTTCCTCTTGGACTTCTTCTGATACAACATTTGAAGATGGAAAAAATTGGCTTTGTAAACAATTACATTTGCACGGACAACAACAACAACAACAACACAAATCAGAGCCAGCCACACCTCGAAATAGTAATGAGCGTGCACGATTATCTCCGTCGTCCTCCACCCGTCATACACTCTCCACGATCCCCACCAATGAATCTATGAACTCATCTCCAACAAGAGCAAAGTTACACCGTTTAAATACAGCTAATCTTCGTGAATACGGTGAATGCTATAAACGTCTAGGAAAGGGATCTACTGCCATCATCTCTATCTGTCGTAGTAAAAAGTTAAATACGGTGGATAAATTGGGAGAATCGAAATTATACGCGATCAAGCAATTCCGTAAAAGAAACAAGACAGAAACAGAAAAGGAATACATGAAGAAATTGACAAGTGAATTTTGTATTTCATCCACTTTTCATCATATCAATGTCGTTGAGACCATTGATCTAGTATTGGATGATCAAAATCGTTATTGTACAGTGATGGAGTACTGTCCTGGTGGTGACCTGTTCTCTGTGATTATGACAGAACATATGACGGATATTGAACAATCATGCTGCTTTAAACAATTAATGTCAGGGATTGCCTATCTTCATTCAGTGGGTGTAGCTCATCGTGACATCAAACCCGAAAACCTCTTATTGACTTTGGATGGTAAACTAAAGATTACGGATTTTGGTGTATCTGATGTATTCCGTTGTGCTTGGGAAAGAACTGGACACAAAAGTCATGGTTTGGTAGGATCAGAACCTTACATTGCACCTGAAGCTTTTGAAAGGGATCATGAATACTGGGGTTCAAATGCTGATATATGGTCTGCTGGTATCGTCCTGTATTCAATGTATCGTGGCGGACATGCATGGATTCGTGCTGATAAATCGATGGACAGAGAATTTCGTAATTACCTTCGTCATTATCCATCTCGGACATTCCCCAACTTTAAAAAATTACCTGCTACAGTTTCTGATTTACTTTACAAGATGTTGGATCCAAATCCCGAAACTCGAATTACCGCTGAAGAGGTTTTACATCATGATTGGGTTAAATCCATCTTGCTTTGTGAAAAAAATGTAGATGCACTGAATCGAGAACATCATCATACCACCATGTCTTGCAACTCAAAAAAAGTGTAAACAGTTCTTTTATATATACTCATACACACACACACACACACACATATATATATATATATTTATTTATTTCATTTTCCATTGCGCAAATAATACCCATTTACAACATTTCGAAAAAAAATCATTGCTTTTAATAAAATCTTTTTCTGTACAAATACATCTACTGTTGAAAACCTAAATAACTATATTCACCTAGATGCTCTGGTGATTTATAATCATTATCTGCATAATAAGGAAAAGGGTTGGCTGTACGCACTGCCTCAAAAGTATGATCCACTGTATGATGGTCTAAAATGAAAGACGGTGAGTTATATATGTCACCCATTGCGGGGAGTGTAAATAAAAAGACTTACCATTGGTGAAGGTTCCTTTTTCCATACAACTTCCGCATAAATCAACCTCTTCACTGATATCACATACAGTACATTTATAAAGCACTCCTACAATAGGTTCTATACCACACCCGTCGCACTAAATGAATTGAAAATAAATAAATTGTTTATATAAAAAGGGTGTCCCTCCTTTTTTTCACTTACAGCAAACCCTTCATGAATGACCAGTTCGGAGGGTTCTGAAGTACCATTAGCCTAAAGGAAAAAAAGGGTGTATTAGCTATTGTAATAGATAAAACCCATTTCTTCTTTTTTTGTCTTTAGTTACAGTGTTCACTTTTCGCATCATTGCATTCACGTTGTTATCCTCTTCGTCATCCGACATAAATACGGCGGGAGGACCTCTAGCCTCTGCGTAATGAGCACCTGAAGTTCTGACATAGCCTGTACTTGCCACCGTTGCATAAGGTCTATTATTGGGACCTAAATTTGGTTTTGTAACACGATTTGGGTTACCCTTGTTCTTGTTTTTACTGACACCTTCTTTATCTTTTGGCATACATGAAGGCTAAATTTTGCAGTAAAGAGAGAGAGAGAGAGAGGGAAAAAGAGATGAGCTGTCAGGAGATGATGATGATTGGTAAGAGAACTTACTGGAATGGTAATTCTGCCAGGTACGGGTAAACCCGATTTAGCCAACTTTATAAAATATTTCTGTACACGACTTGCGACTTGACGTTGTGTTCGTGTACCTAATGCTTTTGATATTTTGTGAAATCTCTGAGCCTGGATGGGTTCATCTGGAAAAGTAATTAATAGCTCTTGTAATCGATGTTGTTCTTCGTCGGACCAAGGTTGTTTAAATGTTGGCGCACGGTTTGGATCATCCTACGCAATATATCGTCCTGTTAAAAAAAAAAATTGGATTTTTTTACTCGTATTTATTTTACCATTGGATTATTATCTGATGAGAAATAATCATCCGGTGTACGAGGTTCAATTGACTGTAACCTTGATAATGAAGGACTATGAATGATGTTTAGTTCTTTAAAAACTTTTTTGATTCTCCCAAATTCCTTTACCTTTCTATTTCAGACATATCCATTGAACTTGCCTGCAAGTCCCTCTCCATGCCTGTCTGTATCATGGACGTCCTTCGCTTACCAATGCCTTTACCAGCACAGGTTGTGTTGATGGGTGTAGTATTGTAGAATTGTCCATTCGGTCGAGGAGTTGTTTTGGACGTTGTCATGGGTTCATCTTCCTCATCATCCGAGAAATCGGATACAGAGTTTGCGCGTGAAGGGATTTGACGCATGGTTTGTGTGGCTTTGACAAGTTCTTGTTGAAGATTGGCTATATTGACAGGTGTTGGAGGAGTAGAGGTATATTCTGTTTGCATAGGCGTATCCAAGATATTCTAAAATAGAAAGAAAATATGTGAGCGATGTAAACTTTTGCTTTTGCTTTTGGTTTTTTTTTACACGGTAAGATGATTTTTTGGATTGATTCAAAAGTTGTTGCGCTAATTCGTTCACTGCGTTATTTTGTTGGACAAGACGAGATTCGGGTAAAAACTTGTATTTGCTCCAATCAATATCTGGCACAGTTATAATTTTTTGCAATTTGGGTACTTTACTTTTTGATTTTCTCTAGTTATTTTTTTTTTTAGCGCTCTTCCCCGGGGGAAACATTCATATGGGGAAGAATGGGTATACCTCTTTTAAACTGATAATAAATGCATAGGGGTCTCCCAAGGCTTCTTGTTTTAGTTTATTTAAAAGGTCTACATGCTCAGTAGCTTTTTTTAACTGGTGTTTTAAAACACTGAGTGATTTTAATACTGTTTGATAACTAGACATAAAAAAACATAGAGGGTAAATAAGTTGTTTAAAAAAAAAAGAAAAAACGTACTCTTCATTCGTATTGATATTCAAGAGATCGTTTGAAGGATCGGAAGGTTGATCTGTTGAAGAGTCTAAAGGCTGAGGTGAAGCTGTTGAAGTTTTGCCCGACATGGTTGAGTGTTCATAAGTAATTAAGGGTCTAGAGTGAGAGAGAGAGACTTTTTGCTTTTTTTTTTTTTTTTGAAGAAAAAAGGTGAGAAGGAAAAATATCTATTACATATAAAAAAAAAATCCTGCCTTTTTGATATGGTTTAGGTTCCGATGAACGTCACAGGGAAAATGAACCATTATTCAATTTCTACATTCAATACGGAATATGTATATCTTTGGGCTAATATGAAGGTAACCAACTATTAAGAAAACGCAATGACATTTTTAATCTTGCTGTGTTTTTCAATCCACTATCATGATCCACCACGTCCCATAAAACAATGATCACGGGTCGGGCATTGAATAAGAGGAAGAAAAAAACTCAGTCTGAAGAGAGAGAGGGCCCAAAGGATGCGGTCATTCATCTTACCCTTTTTTTTTTCTCCCCCTTTTTACTTCCATCTGTCGCGTAAAGTTTTCAAGCCATGATTAATTCACTCTTTGTGATCAACAAACAAGGGTAAAAAAAAAAGAGGAACGTGAATAATAAAAGAGATGTGTTTAATAAAAGGAAAAAAAAATTATCATTTAGAAAAATTATTATCGAAAAGCATTGGCGTGGCATCATCTCGAGACAAATTGTTGACGTATTCAATGACGAATGTATAAAGTTTATGAACTCCTTACCAGGTTCTATGGAAGAAAGTGGTGGTGGATTATCTATCAAGGAACCCTTTTTCACTCGAGAGGATGTTCCTCCTGTTTTAGAAACAAACAAGTATTGGTTATTAAACGTTTTAAGGGATGATTTGACTTGGTTATGTCCGGTCGAAAGAGAAGGTAAAAAGCTTTCGTCTAAATGCAATAGTACAAACCCTAAAAGACCAACTTTTTATTAGTCGACCCCATGCTTGTTTTTGAGTTTATTCATCGTATCATTGACATATTAACCGATTATTTAAGTGATGTCTCTGAATTATCGATTCGAGAAAACTTTGTCACCGTGTATCAGGTACATGTTTAGGGAAAACAAAAAGATGAGAGACGATATGGGGAGGGCTGACGGTATACGTGTCTATAGTTACTGGAAGAAATGTTGGACTATGGTTACCCATTAACAACGGAGCCTAATGCTTTAAAGGAGATCATCATGCCGCCCACCATTATGAACAAAATGATGACTACCGTGGGTGCTGCTGCAGGGTAAAAAAAAAAATTGTTGACGTGATTGACATGTATTAATTTAACATAACATAGTGTTGCACCCAAATTCCCTCAAAGTATGTCCAACATACCATGGAGAAAAGCTGGTGTAAAATATACACAAAATGAAATCTATTTCGATATTATTGAAGAAATTGATGCTACGATTGCTGCGTGAGTCATATAAGAGAAAGAGGTTTGAAAATAGAGAGGAGGGGCTAACGAATTTTTTTTTTTTTTTTTTTATGTTGGTGCTGATAGAAATGGTACTGTGGTATCCTGTGAAGCTCATGGTAATGTGCAAGCCAACAGTAAATTATCAGGCATGCCAGATTTATCACTGAATTTTGTCAATGCCAAGGTCATTGATGATGTTAGTTTCCACCCATGTGTTAGGTGAGTTTTTTAGTAGTAATGGATGTTAGGGAATAGAAGGGATGTATTAAAGACAATTGTCTTTTTTTTTTTTTTTTTTTTTTGGCTGTAGATATCGTAAATGGGACAGTGAAAAGGTTTTATCGTTTGTGCCACCCGATGGACAGTTCAAGTTAATGTCCTATAGGTAATGTGAAAAGAGAAAGAAAAAAAAAAGAATTAGTTTTCTGAATTGTGTAAGAAAAACATTTAGAGCTACACTTTCACCCTACCAAGCCATGCCATTACAGATCAAGCCTCAGATCATGCCAACCAAGAACGGAGGCCGATTTGATATATCTATTCAACCCAGAAGTACGGACGGAAAGCCGATTGAGAAAATTGTCTTGGTGTTACCGATGCCTAAAAGCACCACCAGTGTAAATGCCACGTGTAATTCAGGACAGTACATGTACGATCCAGTTCAGAAGTCCATTCGATGGGAAGTTGGTAAACTTACACAAAGAGATAGAGGACCCGTCTTATCAGGTACATTCAGTACAAGGTAATACGATATCAAAAAGAGAGATAAAGAGAGAGAGAGAGTGTGAGGAACAATTTATTAATAATTTTTAATTTGTAACCATAGCGAGACGAATCCAGAGTTAGGCATGAGTATCGGTTTAGAATTTCAAATCAGCATGTACTCCGTTTCTGGTCTAAAGGTGGATAGTCTTCGTCTTTTCCATGAAGGATATAAGCCTTATAAGGTAATATTTTATTTAATTTTTTACAGAACCATCGACATGGACTGACTTTTTGATGAAAACAGGGTGTGAGATGTATGACAAAGTCTGGCAAAATTCATATTCGAACATAGAGATAGGTTTTTTTTTTGTTTGTGTACATTATTATTAATTTTTTCTTTTTTTTGTTCGATTCTAAATATAATACATTATAATATTTTTTTTTTCTTTCTCTTAAACTCGTGTTGACACTAACTAACTCGTAATACAAACGTAGCAGTGGGGAGGGAAACCAACAGAAAAAAAAAAAGCTAAAAAGGGCTGAGAGCGAAAATCGATAATATAATAAATTTGGGGGGGTGGCCTTTCCCGCCGCTTCAAAGGTTTGCCGAGCCGATGGAAAGTAGACTAATAAAGTCAAGTATTAAATTTCTAGGTACGTCATGGGTTTCAACCTCCATTGCCTGTATCAATTGGGAGAGATCTTTTCCTTGTGGGTTTAGCATGGTCTCAAAGAACCTTATCCATACTGATTTATGCCAGTAACGTTTAATCGTGTTCTGAATACAGAATCCGCCGCCGGTATTTCTAAAAGCATACTGCATGGGTACTCCAAATAATAACAAGTAAGCCATCGTGGCTAATTGCCAATAATCCGCAAAGATGGGAGAATAAGCTTCGTTGATGAATGGATAATCTGACATGGCACAAGGGGGTGGCCAATTTGCTTTATACATTGCGTTTTCAAATAGGCTTAGATCCACTGAACGACCGAAATCAATCATGACGAGCGAGGGCAATCTTTCGCTCGAGGTTGACTTTTTTACCATCATGATATTATCTAATTTGAGGTCATTATGAGCGATATGAATTTCGTGCAACACAATGACCTGTTGTAATAACTGCAATATGAATAAGAGAACAATAGGTTCAGGCATGGTGGGTAAAGGTGGTTGCTTCTTATTGCGATATAAATTAAATGCATCTAATAAAGTGCCATGCTGAAAATAAGGCATGATAAGGTAACTTTTATCGATAAAGTGATGAAATTCATACACCGGTAAAACGAGCAATTTGTTTTTCTGTTGTTGTTGTTGTTGTAGGGTTCTTTTGTGCATTTGATGCAAGATATAAAACTCCCATGGATGTGGAGGTTGTTGTACCTTTACGCCATAAAAGGAGAGGGTGTTTGTGTTTTGAACCAGATAAACATGAGCCATGCCACCTTGACCTATTTTCTTTAACACGTGGTAAGTCTCCCCCAACTGAAGAAGAAGACGGTTGTCCTTCGGTGCATGTGTGGTGTAAATGTGATAATCATCATGTTTATCCACTTCGCGGCTTTTTATTTGATGTTGAATAAACCCATCATTGTGAGGCAGTTGTACTACATTAGCGGTTTCCCCTTCAGTCACTGTGGGAATTACCTCCGATGATGAGGGTGGGATGGGTGGTGGTGGTGGTGGTGGAATGGTTGTTTGTTCATAAAGAAGGGATGTTTCCCCTGAGAGAGAGTGTGATTTAGTATTTACTTTGGGTGTGATGACCTTGAACGATAAGCCCTTTCTTTTGATTGTATTAAACACTGTATCTAATTTAGTAAACATCAACTGTTTTTAGTAAACAAATAAACTCCGATACCCCACGTCTTTTTTTACCAATATCCTTTGTCATGTCGTCGAAACGACCATCGGTGGTTATTAGAGAGTTAGATTTAGCTCTTAACTCTTCCAATGACATTATTTTATTATGGCAACATTCCCTTAAAATGCCTGCACGTATGCTATGTCCAAGTTCTACATCAATCCAGGCCAGCTGACTTTTTAATGTGGGATATTTCTGGTTAAGGAGTGCGTTTTTAATGAGAAAATAAAAATAAAAAAAAGAAAGGAGCTGTATATGATGAATACCAAGTAATGATTGTAATCTATATTGAACTGTTTCAATGTATAATAAGTTGTATTAAAGACAATGATGTGTTCCTTGTGAAATTGATGCAAAGTACGTTCTAGGCTTTCGATAGGTTGAGCCTTCTTTTCTAGACCCAAGAGTAAGGTGCTCTCGGCTTCCCTTAATCTATCATTTGGGATTAGGTGAATTAAATGGACAACAACAAAAAGAAATATTACTTGTTTGACTCCAATTGATAATAGGCTATTACTACATATAGAGTTGCCAGCTTATCAGCGATACGGTTATCTATCATGGCATTCAACATTGGCAACATGAATTGTGGATTGTCCAGATAAAGAATATACATAATCCACAATCGCAGATAGCGGTAATTATTTCTACAGCGATCATCATGTAAGTGTTCTATTACGGCTGTTTCAAGTAAATAAAAGAGAGATTGGTTCATTTCCACATGCTGTGCAAGAGTATGCTCATAAAATAAAAGTGGATCCAAGTCCTTGTTGTTTACGGACCGAAGGCTTTTGTAGCGTGAGAATAACATTGTACGACGATAAACAAATTTCTTAAAGGAGTAAGATGCGTGAGAAGGAAAAAAAAAAAAATTAAAATTTTGATGTTTATATATAAAAAAGATTTATTATAATAACTAGTAATGTTGTTGTTGGAGAGAGAGAAGAATGCAAAAATGAAATTGGTATTTTGGTATAGAATTATAAGGTAGTTCTATGTTCAGAGTCTTGATAACCTGTCATGGAGTCCCAGTTACCAAGAGAAAAGTTTTCAGGAGTCTCATCAGACGATGATTGAGAAGAAGTACTACTTGCAGACGCAGAAGAACGACGCTTGTTATTCAACAATTTAGAGAATTCTGACCAGGGCATATCCATAAAGCTAGAATTCTTGGGTGTAGTAATAGAAGGATCCTCATTGATCAAATTAGGCACAGTCTTGATGTGTTGGAGAAGAGTATAACCAGGATCCATATTTGTTAATTTATATTTTTGTATTTGAGTGAAGATCTATTTTCCTTAAAATCCAGGTCCTTTTTATATGATTCTCAAAAATCGTGGGACATTTTTGTCCTAATATGAATTAGCGCCGCATGATGTGTCCCACTCACTTTTCATTGGTTAGTCTAATTCACCATACCCAAATTAGCTCAACTAGCCTAAAAATAGCCCCCCGCGGAAAAGGTCAAAATGTGGGGGGGGGGGGAGAGGGTCTTCAAAAGATGTTTTAGCCTTGAACGGAATTTACTCTGTCATAGCACAATCCATTTAATTTTTATCCCCTATTCAATGAACGCTTAGAGTAAAGCTATAACTGCCATTGGTTTTTTTTTAAAAAAAAAAAAAAAAAAAAAAAAAAAACCTGTATTACCTCTTTTTGCAGAACTGGTTGTCTGCTAAATGCGGAATTTTTTCTCTTTCTTCATTTGAGGTCATCAAAGCCGCAAAATTAGTCATTTTGGGGGTGCAACCCAAACTGTTGTCCCTTAAAGTCAGTTTCCGCGGGAAGAATGATATCGGATGACTCTTACAATGTGCCAAGCATAGCGTCAAACGAAAGAAAATTATTCGCACTCAAATTATGAATATGTTGGCGTATTATGGAGAAGCGACAAGACTCTTCTACTTTATACCATGCTCACCTATAGATATTCGTAGAAAAAGTATTTTAAATGTCCCCAGTACTTCGAATTGGAGCCACATCTTTCTGATAGGTTTACGGACAACTCTTGGGTTACTGACACAGGAACTATTCAAGATAAGCCTTTCAATAAAGAAACGTTTATTGCAAGTATTCGTAACGAAGATAAGAAGAGCAAAAAAAAAAACAAGAAACAAAAAAAAACAAAAACTCCCGTGTATGATGAGCTTATGGAACGTTTTGAAATTGAAACTGGAGCTAATGGCAGTAATGCTGGTGGAAGTGAATCAGGTTCGAATACTACCAATGACAGTGAAAAGTCGACGTCTGTTGTGGCTCTGGAAGCATGTATAAAAGAAAGAACAGAGGCGAAATGGAATGATAGTCTTATGCAGATAGGGAATCGTCGTCTTGAGCTTTTAAAACTAGGCCTGCCAATTGAGACAGTCAACATGATTTATGAACAAGAAGTAGAGCTTCTTAAAAGAGGTCCGTTAGAATAATAAACTATTTTTTTTTTTTTTTTCTTCAAAGTGATTCTTCTGTCTGTAACAAAAGGCCATCGTTTGAATGGAAATGTCTAGAACTCCGTATTTTTTTCAAACGTATTTTTTAGAATCACGCAATGGTCTACACGTCGATTGACATGCAACTACATTAGTATTATCCTCCTTGGTTCTTGATTTTCTACAATATCCTAATATATTATATCCGTCTTGTTTGAGGCCAGTTATATATTCTTTATATTTGTCAGGTAATGTAGCGATGTGTTCCGATAATGCATCTACGATGTGATAATTATTAATACCGTAATAGTGATAATAATAAGCACGTTACTTACCTTTAAACTGGTCTTTTAATACGTATAGGCCTCTTAAGGATAATCTTAGCTCTAGCTTTTCCTGCTTTATCTTAACCCAATCAGAATGTTTGAAATACTCAAGCGCATGTTTTTCAATTAAAACCGGACAGTCCCCGCATCCAAATACTACAGTTTTTGTGAGGTGCACCACACTCTGAATTCGTTAAAAGGTTTGTCTTGAAATGTTAAGCTGTAGTTCTGTATCTCTGACATGATATCATTCATTGATAAATATCTTAATTCATATGTTGTGGATTTGGGGTCTAGTGGGAGATACGCAGTATCTAAGAACTGTTTCTAAATTAATTTCACTCGTCTCTTTTGACGTATACAAGTTGACGTCGAACCAATTCGCGTAAATAACTCTTGTGCACAAAAGTCTTGTTTTTTGGGGTTTCTTACAAAAACTCCAGTCAAGACCAGCAAGCCAGTACGATTGCACCTATATACAGTGCAGTCACAGCCATTCACGGTTCTTGAGTTCCAAAAACTCAAGAACACTGCCCTCCTTTAGCAAAGACTAGCCGCAGCCGCAATATCACAATATATATCTTTTCTAATTTAGCTTCTTTTCAAAGAAACAAGAGTCACTACTAAACAAACCTTTTTACGTGATCGGTTACTCTCATACAATAAAAGAAGTATGTTAAGGGAAAAGAAAAGGAGAAGAATGAAGTGTGTGAACCAGCTTTTATTTGTAGGCTGATAAACAAGCTTATGTCAGGATGATTTAATTGCTTGTTTCATCATCCATAATGTTTGAGCCTTTACTTAAAATAGAAACACTTGCAAAAGCCTCCCAAGCAAGTCAGAGCTTGGTAATTGTCTATCTGCGTTCCAGTAGTAGCTTGTAATGACAATGAAGCAGATTTTATGGAAAACAGAAATCGATCATCCCATGAAGTTTAGATGATATGGCATCACTTCAGTCGATGATAGTCGGATTAAAGGAGAGATCACTAGCAGAAAATGTTTATGTTACAGTCAGCTGCAATTCAAAGACTTCGATAAGTAAAAGAGACTTAAAGAAGAACAAAATACTAGATGAATTGTCAGGTGTGGCGCCCAAGGTATCCAATATCTTGTATAAAGTATTATGTAATAAAATTTTGCATTTTATACCAACTTTTTGATTGTAGTTATAGCTTTCGTTTCATCGATGATCTTGGTATATTTTCTAACATTATCTTTATTATATGGCACAGCATAAAACAAACATACTACTTCCTCGCGAGAAATAACAATCATGATTTTTTTTCCAAGTGCAATGCTGAAATGAAAAAAAAGCCAAGAGTGGGGTGACCAATTGGAGTTCAAAAAAGTGACCAATTGGCATTCAGATATGTGACCAATTGATGCTGGAAGCACTGTACTCTCTCTTTTGCCTCTGCAGACCCTCCAATTCCGAGGAAAGCCAAGGCTATTCCAAAGTCACTATAGTGACCAATGATTTTCTCTCTCTCTCTCCCTCTCTCTCTTTCCTTACCAACATAACTTAACTTTGGGGGCGGGGAGAGGGATGGACAGAAGCGGCCAATAAACTCTTTCCTGTTTGCTTATATGTCTTTCTTAGCCAGTAGCATTCCATTTCGATTCAGGACTTGTATTTTTTGTATGATCAGTGATCGTCTCTGTAGCAAGTATAGAAATCCTTCACTCCAGTTTTGCCCTCCTTTTTTTTATTTTTAATTTTGGTCACTGCGTTTCTATTTTTTTTTTTTTTTTTTTTTCTTTCAGTTCTATTTTTATTCTCTTGGCCACTTTTTTTTTTTTTGTTTCGAGAACCAATCTTTATTATAATAATAAATAAATAAAACAAGTGCTATGGCTTCAAGTATAGTTCATACGCACCAACAATTGCCTCCGGGCTCAAACTTTTCAGACGCCTTTTGGGTAATGTCAAACAACATTCTAAGCCAAACCAAATAAAAGAAAAAAAAAGAAAAGAAACTGATTTCTCTTTCTAATGGGGGTATTAGGACGATAAAAACAAAGGTGTAGAAATTATCATGAGTCGATTAAGAAAATCAAAAGATACTTGCGAAGAGATCAAAAAATTATATGAAGCAAGGTAAATACATTCCAACGCACATACATGCGCACAAAAAAAAAAAGACTGAAACCCCTGGGGGACATGTAGAGCCAATATTGAGCAAGACTATGGAGAGAGACTTTTAAAGCTTGCACAACATTCGAGAGTGGGAGAATTTGAAGAAGATACTTTTGCAGAGACTTTATTACGTATCCCTTCAACTTTGGAAGCTACAGCTCGTGCTCATATCGATCTAGCTCAACAACTGAAAGATCACCTTGAGGCACCGTTAGACGGTTTCCTGAAAGACCAAAGAGATATCCGTAAAATGGTACAATCACCCTTAAAACTACTTTATTCATTATATACACTGAAACCATATTCCCGATTTTTATTTTTTATTTTTTACAGCAACAGCAATACTTGGAGAACTCAAGGCAACTCAAGAACCTACACGAAGCTGATGTCGCACGAGTAAAACAAAATGGTTATACCAAGTTTATTTATACATTTATTAAAAAAAAATTTAATTATATTACTAGGCAAGAGACTATTACTCCATCGAATGCGAAAAACTGAATTCAATGTTAAAAAGCTACAGTCTACTTTCCATTGATGGCTCAAATGATGACTTGACAAAGGTAAATATTAAAAATACATTCATAATTAATTCTAGAAAATTATCAATTTGTCTTACCATGTTGACGATAGATTGAAAAGGAAATTGATGAACAACGAAGAATGGTAACCGTTGCTGGTAAAAAAATCATTTGCATCCTATTATATCTCTCAAAGTCTTTCTAAAAGAAAAAATCAAATTTTTTAACAAATTAGATCAAGTATATCGAAGATCTGTTGACAATTATAATTCCGTAATTGAAAAATGGGTGCATGATTGGACTTCCAGTGCTGACAAGTTTCAGGAAATGGAAGTGAAGCGTATCAGCTATTTGAGAAGTACTTTATGGTCGTAAGTACCTTTATATATATATACAGCATGCACGATATTTATTTATTTTTTTTGTGGGCTATTAGGTTTTCAAATATGATGACTAGTACCTTTAGTATCGATGAGGAGGTAAACTGATATAACTTCCCCTTTTCTTTTGGTAATGATAGATACTAACAAGATCCACTTAGTGCTGTGACCGAATTCGAACTGCTTTAGAAATAACTGACGTCCAGAAAGACATTACGAGCTTTGTGTCACGTTATGGCACAGGGACTAGAATACCAGGTAATTTTTTTTTTTTTAATATGAATAGAAAATGATGATCGATTACCTTATTTATATAATCTTTATATATATATAAAAAGCCCCATTGTCATATGAAGTGCTTCACAATAATACAACTCAGACGAAATCCGTGGTTCCTGAAGTAGTACCTACAACGCCCATCCCTTCTGCCGCCAATACCGCAGCGACTATTCATTACGTAGATCATCAGCCTTTATCAGCTCCTACTAAAAAAACTTCTTTGGAATCGTTACCCGAATCAGTTAGAAGGGGAGCATCGGAATCCAATGCGACAGTGAAAAGCATACCTGTCACCATCCTAACCAATCCTGACGAAGAATTGAAATCGGTCGATCGTCAATTGCAACGTTTGGAAGTACATAACGCGTCATCACCTCCAAGTGAAGATGAAAGAAATAGTTTGATGCAAACATCTCCTCAACATTATACATTGGATGAGAAACGTGGAAATAAGGTTGAACAACCTACTCCAATGTCAGCTCAGCCCTTAAGTGGTGTAACAAACACAACAGATCAAAGTTATGGTCCTGTCAGTACCGCCATCAAAGAAGTTGAACAAATATTAAATATTCGCGGTTTCAGTAGCTCTGATGATATCGCTTCTCCAACACCCGTCATGAACACGCATGAGAATATCGTCCCTATTACCAAAAACGTCGTTAGTAACAGAACATCTTATGCTAATAACACTCAGACGATTCCTCCCATCATGACCGCTCGCTCCATCACTTCTGAAAACGCCGGTGTCTCTCCACACCATCCTTCCGGTGAGCACACGGATGACTTTTCTTCAGGTATCTATGATGCACTTGGACTCAATGGTAATCAACACACGAGTCAGTACGACTTGAACAACCACAAGGAACTTTACAGTCCTTCTGCTGTTAACCTTTCTCCCATTTTATCCTCGAGCACTCCCATCGCATCAGCAGAACTGCTTTCAAATCACTCCAATATCAGTGCAGAAAGCAACAACTATAAGAAATACAAGCCAATGCCCAATCCCATTTACACCAACAACAATCTCAATATTTCACCTATCGGAAACACCGAGAAAGAAATTATTTCACCAGAAAGTGTACCCAACCAACGTCCTGCTTTCAGTACACGTACATCCTCTCTTTTGTTATCCCCCAAACAAGACTTGAGCGAGAATAATAATAAATCTCCACTTAATCTTCATGTTACCAATAACAATGATGATGATGAAGAAGAGGATGCCGAGGATAAGGCCTATCACGATAGAATGCCTAGACCACCACCCAAGGACGAAAAATGGGTCATTTCATCCATTCGAAGACCTCAACAACTACCTGTACGTGCATTGAATGCCAAAATGTTTGATGGAACCGCTTCCATCTCTCGAAATAGTGTGATGGGTCATATCGATCATGACAACCCTGCACGACCCGAATCTGCTCCTCCCACTGCTACTGCTACTGCTGCTGCTGCTGCTGCTGTTGTGGGAGAGAATCGTTTAGAAACTATGCATCAACCCAAGGTTCATCGACCTGCTATTCCGCTCACCATCGATATACCAAACTCTGTCAAACCCACACCTGAACTCCCACAAACGATTGCACAACAAGCCATTGCTGAAGGCAGGAGATTGTCTCAAATGTCACCTATCCAACAAAAGATGGATTTGAATAATACGGTAGCCTATAATCAACAACCACTGGATCGTAATGCTATGCGAGGCTATCTTGTTCAAAATGGGTTGGAGGATGGAGGGATTCGTCCTGCACCTTGGCAAGAGGAAATGCCGACGGATGATCGTATGGCGTCTAAAAATGGTAACTTTAGAGGAACACCCGCTGTCGGAGGAGCACCCGGTGAATATTACATGAACGGTGGTGGGGGTACACCCATGCCTCGTGTTTCTTCTCTTAAAATCGCTAATCAAGAATACCAACAACAACAACAGCAGGTGGAGGAGGAAAACAAGAAACGGTTTGCAAAGAATAATACGAAACAATACAGTGAATCCTCTATGAAATCCAAGGAGAAAGACAACAAGGCAGGAAGATTCTCGTTAGGATTTTTCACGGGTAATAAAAAGGAAAAGAAAAAGGAAAAAGAAGCTGCAGCTGCTGCTGCTGCTGCTGCCATGACTGCTGCGAATATACCAAGTAATTATCAAACTCCTGATCGAAACCAGTTTCAGGGACAACAGAATTATGCAATGCCACAACCGCAACAAAATCAGCAGCAGCATATGCATCAATTGCACCAGCAACAACTTCAGCAACAACAGCATCAACAGCAATTACAACAACAGCAACAACAGCAGCAACAACAGCAACCACAACAACAACAACAACCACAACAACAACAACAACCACAACAACAACAGCAGGAACGACCTATGAGTCAGTTAGGTAAGCAACCTCAAGACCCATCTCAATCCGACTCTAGAAGCTTCAATAGCAACAATAATAGCAATAATAATATAGTTCCATCTCAAACACCAGCACCACAACCTTTTGATGGAAGTCGATATATTGGTTATGCAAAAGCCCAATGGCCCTTTGAAGCCACGGTAAATATATATCTATATATATATATATCTATATATATATATATATTTTGCAAGCGATGTGTTGCCCTTACCAACTCACCTTTTTTTTTTTTTTTTTTTTTTTCTGGTTAGATTGATGGAGAAATGTCCTTCCACGCAGAAGAGGTGATTGGTATTCTTGGTAAACAAAGTGACGGATGGTGGGCTGCAGAACGTATAGATCCTGCTTTTGCTGGTCAAAGAGGACTTGTGCCCGGCAATTATATGGTTGAAACTATTCACCCATAATTTTTTATAACATAAAAAAAAAAGAGCTTTTATGACCCCCTTACCTTCTTTTACAATATCACTCTAAATGCAAGTCTTATCTTGTCCCTTACTAATTTAAATGTACTATAATAAACTTCATATTTTATCTATTTATTAATTTGAATATTTTTTTTTTAAAAAAAAGGCACTCATTTTATTTAATTACAAGATAATGGTTTTAGTGAAATATCGTTTCACCATTGTTTTAATACATTACGTTTTCTCTTTCTCGCTGAACTTTAAACGTGCATAAGAAAGTTTATTGATTGACCCTACACTAAGATGATTTGTGCATAAGAATTTATTTTATGGCATAATAAGAATAAGGCAATGTAAAATTGTTTTTTTTTTTTATATAATAGCAATTTAATATAAAAACGAGTGAAAAGACCCTGATTGTTTTTTAAATAGTTGAAAAATCTGACAGACAAGGATAATTTCTTTCCAAAAAAACATATAAGCGTGTTGAGTTGAATCAAGATAAATACTTAAGGTACAATTTAGCTTTACTAACGTCCAAGTCGAGCAAAATAATAAAAAAAAAGTACTTTAAAAGTTATCGTATTATTTCAATCGTTTACATTAGCTACAGAAATCGTAAGGAAAAACAAGCAACAGAACACACAAAAAGCCTTTCAAAAACATAAACACTACACGCACTACATTCGAGACAAAATTTGTAAAAATAGAATGCTGGTAGCAGGAATCGAACCTGCGTCGACGCGGCCACAACACGATGTACTGCCACTATACTATACCAGCTGCTGATGAAAGTTAAATTTATAAAATTAATAAAACACAAAAATTGCAAAAAATGTAGTCACGTGATTATCACGTTGAAGTAATCTGATTGGAGAGGGCGGTATAACCATAGTAAAAAATTTAAGCTGTCTTTTCGATGGTAAAGACCTTTCTTTTCTTTTGACCAAATATTAATCTTACATAGCAACGTCAGTATTAGCTGTTTAAGACTACATAACTGTGTATACGAATAGAAAAATATTCATTAATATGCCTTTTCTTACCATTAAGAATATATGTGGTGTAATTCGAAGTCCGGTCATTTTTGCCAGAAATGTTTAATTAAGACTTCAGAACTTTATAAAACTATGAAAAGTAAAGGAAAATGCGTCAATTTTTTTTTGTTTCTGTACCTTGTAATAAGATCTACAATGTGGAAAAACGGTTTGTTTGACACGGAAAAATAAAAGATAAAAAAAACAGGAAGAATAAGATTAATATTGCTTGTAGGCTTTTTTATTCTTATTCAAAGTGAATCCCTCTTTCATCTCTGAAAGAAAGGGGGTATTTATAGTTATTTAAAGCGTGGGTAAAATTATGGCTCGTTTGTGTTCACTTGGTATTATTGGCTGTATTTACTAATGACTGATGAGCCTTATCAGTGTAGCCAATCTATTATTCGAAATGGGATCTTCTATTGGAATATCTAGTAACCCTGAGTTGTAAATGTATAACTCAGGATATTTTTTATGCTATTATTTTTTTATGAGTGTTATGATATTATGTACCTGTCGATCAAGGATCGATGGAATGATTTTATATGCGATTTTATATGTTAAATAGTGCGATTTTAGTACATACAACATATCAAAATATAAGGTATGGTTATTAAATAGAACCGTATTATATTTAGGTTCTAATTATAGAATAATTTTGAACAAGTGCTAGTTAGAATTTACAGCTTTTGGGAATGTCTAATACTTGAATTCAAAAGAAAAAATGATTGAAAAAAAATTTTTTTTGCATTTGGGTCAAAATGTATTTACAGATTTTGTGGTCAACAAGCTCGCTTAGCTCAGGTTAAAGATTTTAATTTTATTATTTACAACAATGTATGGGCGACTCTATAGAGCATAAATGCCACAAAGGATGAACTAAGTTAAATTTGAGGAGAAAATATAAAAAACCCAACAGAGAGCGTATGAGGGAAAAAAGGATTAGGAGTAAGAAAAGAGCTTGTAGACTAATGTATTTGTAAATGATCCTCTGGTTCGACTATCGGCTGGGAACTTTGATATGACTTACCACCGTAGCGACGCAGATGGAAGGCAGATACAAATAGGTCATCTATGCAGGGAGCAGAGGAGGGGGAAGCCATGAATCACCAGGGTCCGGATCAGGGGCGATATTAGCAAGAGGATGTACAAGACAATCAATTGCATATAGTAATTGAAGTAAGTCAGACCAATATGGTGGTGGGCCTGAAGCAGCGGAAGTTGGAAGACTACTAATTGCAAAGTCTAGACGATGAAGTGTAGGTGATGGAGATGGTGGTAGAGAGTCCCAAAGGGTTGACTCCAGAGCACGACAAGAGAGAAAGTGGTCACGAGTGATGTATTCACCAGAAAAGCAGGGGCATTGTTCACGCATGTTGGCGAATCGACCTAGACGCCAGCGTACTAGGCGACTTCTAGCCGTATTGGACATTGGGAGATACAGTATAGGGTCAGGTTTAGAAGTACATGGACGACATGCTCGAAGTAGAACATGATGTCCAGAGGTAACAGCTTTAGCCATGAGAGTATCAAATTGGTCTTGCCAGAATTTTCTGAAGTGTGTATTCAGTAAAGCAGGAGTGGCGGGTAGTGGAATTGGCAGAGATCTGTAGAGGGCATTCTTTTGAAGAAGAGAGATCAATCTGGGTGGTTTTTGTAGAGACTTCAGGAGAACAAGTAGACAGTCATCTGGTAGTAAATTAGCTCTCAACACATATCTAGTGACAAGCACGTTATAGCGGTGTTTCATCGAGGGAAGACAAGTAATATGTTTAGCAACATTGAACCAAGATCCACCAACGAACATTCGGACAGTACAAGCCGGTTTTGTGTATCGTCAATGGCTTTTAATTGTGTAGCTGTGAGGTGGGAGAGCTCGCTTAGCTCAGTTGGTTAGAGCGTGGTGCTAATAACGCCAAGGTCAACAGTTCGACCCTGTTAGTGAGCATCCATTATTTTTTGTATTTTCTCACTCTTGGCAGTGTGTCTAGCTGGTTTCTTGTTACTATACCCCTTCTTTTTTTTTTTTTTTTGAAATATTTCATTGTCATGGATTGGATAAAACTAGGTATGATAACTGCCCAGATGCGCGAACTCAAGTCCATTCATCATACATAGGACCCAAGACCTTGACTCTAGTCAATGTCTTGACCACATCAGGTATGATTGTGTCAACTTTTCATGTCCTTTCATAAAAGGTATCCTTTTACGTCGATCAATTTTCAGATGTAGCCCCTTACTGTGGATGATTATAAGGCATTGTTGTATCCCTCATTGATGGGGATTGTAAGTATTGACCCGAGGGGAAGCATTGCTACAAGATAAAACGGGAAATGGACACACTTGGGATCTTCTGCCCCCGAATGAATTAGTAGAATTTAGAATTAAAAGACGAAATCCGTTTTCTACCACGGATTGATATGCATGAATGAGAACTCAAACGCGACGTGAACAAGTTAAAGAAAAAAGGAGTTTTTGAGATTATATGTATATATATTTGTATAAAAATTTGATTTTACAAAAAAAAGATGATTCTTTTTTTTTTTTTCAATTTAATCTAAAATTTAGTTCTCCAAAGTGAAGGCAAGACCAAGCTTGTGGGCGTTTTCGTTAAGACGAGTAGTATCAACGGAAGCACCGAGGTTAACCTTGACACCAGGACGGAGAGATTGAGTATAACCGAGACCGAGAACACCAGAGTTGGAGATCTTGGCCTTGACGAAAGCAGAAGAGTCCAACTTGAGCTTGGCACCAACTTCAAGAGTGACAGCCTTGGAACCCTTGGAGTCCCAAGAAGCCTTACCAGAGGCCTCGAGGTCACTGTTGACACGGTGGTAGTAAGAAGCAGCATAGTTGCTCAAGTTGTTGGTAGCATGAACAGCAACACCATACTCGGCAGCGGTATAACCGACAGCAGCGTTGTAACGACCGATCTATTATTTTAACAATATGATTAGATCTCTCTCTCTTTCACATCTCTCTCTCTCTCTATTTTTATATATATCCGCTCTAATTACCTTGCCATCCAAGACATTGTAGGCAACTTCGGCACCGACAAGGAAACCTTGTTGACCGAAAACGGAGTTGACACTGACGTTGGTCTAAAAAAAAAAGTTAGTTTTATAAAGAGAAAATTGTTTATCTATTCTTACCTTGAAGACATCAAGAGTGGCAACGGTGTGAACATTAGGCTTCTTGTAGGTAGCGTTGATCTTGGCAGCCTTCTCGTTGACAGAGGGGAGGAGAGAGGTCAAGAGTTCGAGCTTAAGACCCTCTAATTGATAAAAAAAAATAGGGATCAGTAAACACTTTTGATCACCAAAATAAAATAAAATAAAAACTTACTGGCAAGGTTGTTCTCGAGCTCAATCTTTCCGTTGAGGTGGTTGGAGGTAGTCCAAGCTTCAGTGAAGGTAAGACCGTTCTTCTTGTCAGCATACTTGGTTTCAAGATCACCGACAATGATACCGGTCTTGTTATCACGTTGACCGTTAACCTTGAAGGTCTATTACCGAAAAAAAAAAAAAAATATTAGGTCATCTTTATTATCTCAACACAGATCCCGAGGTTAAGAAATGAATAAAAATAAAAATACTTACAACACCGTTAGGAGCAGTGGTCTTAACTTCGAGCTTACAACCACCAACGGGGTAATCCTTGGATAAAAGATCCTTGGCGGACTTGCCAATATCGTTGAAAGCAGCTACGTGTTTGATAAGTATTTGGATGAATTATAAAAAAAAAAAAATGTTGTTAGCAAAGCTTACCAGGGACAGACATCTAATGATAAAAAAGTGTTTAGTATAATTGTTGCTTGTTGGGGGATGACCGAGAATAATAAGAATAATTACCTTTAAAGAAAAATATATAAAATATAGATTAAGGGGAGCAAAAGAAGAAACAATAGATTTTCTTTGTTTATGGTAAACTTGCTGACGGGATTTCAAAAGAACATGGGTTAAAAAAAAAAAAAAAATTTCTAGTAACTGAGTGGAGATTGTTTTTTTTTAACTGGGGTACCAAAACGCACTTTGGTTCCCTGTTCCTTGCCCCCTCCCCCCCCATAAAAAAATAAGCACATGTCACAGACGTACTTGGTTTATTTTTTTGTATATTTTTTTTTTTCACTGTATTCTTAATATACAAGAATAACGTCTATTTCTTTACTTCTTTTTTTTTTCTTGGGTGTACATTTCATGTCAGTATGTGTCTATGCATTCACTTGTACGTGTCCTTTTTATTTTTCACACGAAATTACGTGATCTCCCACAAATTTAATTATTTGTGAAATCCCAATCTTATATTGTTTGTACCTCATTACACAAAATCAAAAAATAATAATCTGTTTAAAATCTTTACTGCAAAGTCCATCAATGAATCAGATGTTTGTTTTTTTTTTCAAAAAAAAAACACTACATACTTGAATGATAGTTATAATAAGCGTCAATTTAAATTGCGCTGAAAATAGACTACTTTTGCTTCTTCATATTTAATGGAAATGTATAATACTTGTAAATTGGGTCTGTATCATTTAGTCGAAAAATAAAAAGTACTAAAAGCACAAAGGTAAGAGTATTCAAAACCAGCAGAGCAACATTTTGCTGCATTGCACAACATGCAAGTTTTATGGGGTTCACCTATAAAAGAGGTAACCATGCCACTTATTCTCTAGCTGTCCTCACCTTTTTTCTGTTGATTCCATGTGATTGCAAGCGAGACACATAACTGATCAATGTTTGGTAAATTGAGACAATGCGTGTTTATTTATATATTAAAAATGGGATAAAATGACAGAAGGAGGGGAAAAAAAACAAAGGTTATATAGATTAATGCTTGGATTTCTTTTGCTTGACAATAGCTGCTCGTAAAGTCTTTTGCTTATCGAACAAACTACGCTTAGATTTCCAAACAACGGCTTGTTTGTGAGCCACCATCAAGAAATTCTTATTTCTAGCCTTCTCACGATTGGTGGTACTACCTCTTTCCTTCTTACCCTTGTTAGAACCAAACTTCTCACGACCTTCACGACCTTCTTGAATAGAGGCCATTCTTGACTCATAATCTTGCTTTGCCTTCTTACGAGGACCGAGAATAGCATATTCATCAATCTCTCCTTCTTGTTGGATTTCCTCAGCTCCACGCTTCTTGCCTTGAGCTTGCTCGATTTCATTGGTGGTCTTGAGTTCACTCAAACGAGCAAAATCTGCAGGTGTTAAAATACGTGTAGTAGCCAACTTGATAGAGGCTTCATATTTGGCAGCTTCTTCAGCACGACGTGCCTTGACAGCTTCTAATAACTTCAAACGTTGTTCATCCGAGATCTCGGTATGTTCTTCCGCATCCATCATCTTCTTCAATTGACGCTTACCCACACGACGGGTCTTGATAATTTCTCCATTAGGTCCCACCTTGTATTGTAACTTCTTCTTTTCCTCATCGTCTAAACCTTCATTCTCTTCATCCGCCAAAGACACATTAACGAAATCTTCGTCATCACTACCCACATTGACCCAGCCATCACCTTCTTCATCACTATCATCGCTAGAATCATCCACTTCCCAATCTCCCCAATCTTCATCCTTCTCAGCTTGATCAAGAAGTTCAAGACCTTGAAGACCAGACATGTTGGTAGAGGCTTCACCATATTGTACAGTACGGATCGATCCATCCTTCATACGAATAGTAGCAGTCTTACCACGATCTTTACGCAGCAACATCTCGGGATTGATCTCACGGAAGAGAGCAATAAGAGAACGAGCAGCCATGAGGACACTCTTATCACGATGCGACTTGTATTGTGTTAAATCTTGCAACAAGGCAGGTTCGATTGCCAAAGGTTGACGAATACAGATTTCACGAATACCATTGATACCGACGGCCATGACTTCATTGGCAACACGATCAGTGACAAAGTTATTGGCAATGGCCTTGAGAACGGGTTCCAAGATATCGGGAGGTACGAGAGAATGAGAGGCTTGAGCAGCACAGACCATGACCATGGTCACATCACGTTGAGAAGGTTGCAAATACTTCATCAATAAAGGATAGAAGCCCAAGATGGTCAATTGATGAATACCAATCACACGAGAGACTAAATTCATCTTCATCAGACGAACTTCCCAACGATCATCCTTCACGTTCAACTTTGAGTATAATTTTTCGGCGAAACCTTGAGCATCGTTTAAAAGATGGAGGGCGGAGAAATTGAAACTCTCGGCTTTGTCCTTATTCTTGGACTTTCTCTTGACCTTCTTACGAGCTGCATCCATTTTACGAGCATTGGCCTTTGTCTTGGTGTTATGTTGATGAGCCATTTGCATTTTTTTAAGATCGGGAATCTATAGAGTCAGATTCGAGGGTTAGTTCATGAATAAACACATGGTATAACAAACAAAAAAAAAAAAAAACTTACATCTTCATCCTCTTCCTCTTCTTCTTGATGGTCGTTACTGTTCAAGAAGAACTTGACGGCAGTCACAGAGACCTTGGTGACAGGAGAGAAACAAGCTTCGGCAATGACATTGACGGTCTTTGCATCGTTCCAGACGTTCTTGTGGTAAAGATCGACACAGACATCCACACTCTTTTTGGCAGCAATGGCGTTTTCATCACTGTTACCGGTGGTGGCGGATTCCAACATGGTGAACATGAACGATTGGAGTGTCTTATTCAACTTGTTGTTCTTTGCTTTGGCGTTGGAGTTTTTGATATCATTGACAATATGACTGTAAAGCATTTCACGGAGATTCTTATCTCTGCATTTGAAGAGCGTGAAGAATAATGGTAAAAGACTAGGAACAGAAAGTTTTAGTTGTGTGTTGCGTTTCTATCATTCCTTCTTTTTTTTTTTTTGTCACAGCACTTACCGAGTATTGTCAATAATGCCCTTATTACGGAGAAGAATCAATGCTTGGACTAAACTCTTTCTGACCTCGGGGTGGAGGACAATACAATGTTCCTTCAAGAGATCGACGATTTGCTGAGAAAAGTCCTTGGTTAATTCAGGGTAACATTGGGTCACTTGACTCATGAATGTGACTAATTCAGACAACTCCTTGGAATCTTCATCGGGCTTCAAACAAAAGATCGAGAGAGTCGACTGGAAATGACGCCATTGTTGAAGAAACTCGGCTTCGTATGACTTGGAGTCACGCTTAATCAAGTTTTGAAGTTGAGGCAAGTGAGTAGGTAATAAGGCAGCTCTATTACGTTTACCCATTTTATTTTTTTTAAATTGATCAAAGATAAAAAAAAAAAAATAGACTTTTTTTTTTTCCCTTTTATGACACTTTTCGAACTTTCGCTTTTTGCCTTTAAAAAAACTAAGCCATCTCTTTTTAGAGAAAGGACGTCACAAATTCAGGGCCACAAATCCCCTCCGCACGCATAAATTAGGTAATGTTTTATTTTTTTATTCCATCAAATCCACATTGACACTTTTTAAAGCATTGACCGACCATTCTGGGTATTTACTCTTGTTTCCACCAAAATAATTGTGGAAGAACGTCTTGATCCAAGCAGGATAGACATCTTGCTTGATGGCCTCTCGGATGTTCTTCATCAATCGAAGCTGGAAAGCCAAGTTGTGAATTGACACTAAATGACAGCCTACAGTATCCTTGGTTGTCACGCTAAGATGGACGTAGGATCTTGTATAGTTTTTACAGGTCGAACATTCACATCCTTCTTCAATTGGTCCGAAATCCGTAGCGTATTTACCGGACTTTAGTGAAACAGTACCATTCATCGTCAAGGCGTTACCGAATCTCTGTTTCCATTTTTCACAGTTAGTAACAGGAATGAAAAACTTAAAAAAAATTGAGCACATACAGCAGTTCTGGTAGGGAAAACACAATCGAACATGTCGACACCTAATGCAACACACACCACAAGATCCTCAGCATAGCTAGATAAGGGGGGTTAGTTGTGATCTCTTTCCAGTTATATTTATGGAATTTTACCCGACACCCATACAATAAATGGGCTTGTTCTTGGGCAATAAGTCTGTACAAAGGGTAACACTGTATGACTTTCATGTAAGTCACGCTGTGGAATATTCATACTTATGATTTACATCTTACATTTTCCAAAAGACATCCTTTTCTTCACCGCCACTTAATCCTCCTACGGCATAACCAGGTGTATCTCTCTTTACCATTTCCTCAATGCATTTCTTTCGGAGATCTACATTTAATCCACCTTGAATGATGGCAAACAAATTCTGAGTGTCTGTGTTCTTGTGGGCAACAATACAACGATCCAACCAACGAATGGATCTCCACATGGCTTCTTCTACACGGGGACCTGAAGTCAGAGAAGAAATCACATCATCCAGCTGCATCATAATATCCGCTCCAATCGTGTTTTGAAGTTCCATTGAATGCTCGGGTGTCAACATCATGAGAGATCCATCATGAGGAGAGGCAAATTCAACACCTTCTTCAGTGATATTGGCCAATTTTAAGAGAGATACCATTTGAAATCCACCACTATCCTATTTTAATCGATTAAAAAAAAAACATTGTCTACATTTTTTTCATTTTTAATCTCTTTACTGTTAAAAGGTTACGTCTCCAACTTTGGAAAACATGGGCTCCACCCACAAGGTCGAGAGTCTCTTTTCCAGGTTTCAAACCCTAAATGAAAAAAGTGTCAGTTAATATACATACAGTGATAAAAAAAATAAAAACGTTTACAAGATGATAGGTGTTGTTTAGCATGATTTGACAGTTTAATTCTTCTAATTGGTCGGGCAACATGCCCTTCATGGTACCTTGCGTACCTACAGGCATAAAGACAGGTGTGTCCACAGGCCCATGGGGTAAATTTAAGATGGAAACTCTGGCTTTGGTTGTAGAGCATTTAGCTAATGTGTCAAAGGTAAGTGCGCTCTTCATCTTGACCAGTTGTTTAGGTAAATTAAAAGTCGACAGTGTAGAAAAAAAAAGAAGAAGAGGAAGGGAAGCGTGTTGCCCGTGCGTCCTTTTTTGATAGAAAGAGAGAGAGAGGGTCGAAAACCTTAAAAAAAACAGGGACGGGATTCACCAATTACAGTCACAGCATCATTTGACAGTCCCCTTCCCTTTCCTGTAATAAAAAAAAAAAAAAAAGAATATTTTTTTTTTTCTGAAATTCAACTTTTTTACATTATTCTTCACAATGGTAAGTGAATCAGTGTCCTGAGACATTCAACGCATGAGTATTAATTAGAATGAAATAGGGTAAAGCTAGTACAACAAGAAAGTTTGCTCAAGTCAAACGCATGATCAGCAAAAATGACACTCGATTGTAAAGTTATCTTTCTTTTTTTTATTCGTATAGATGCGTTATTTAACTTATTAACATGACTTTCTTACAACAGAAAGGAAAACAAGGAAAAGATGAAGAAGAAGGAAGAAAAGAAGGAGGAGAAAGCAGTTCGTCATGTGTAAGTTTTCTTTTTTATATCTTTAAAGAGTGTCATTTATAGACTGACAGGTTTACATAGTCCTCAAGTGGCTTCTTCCATGTTTTTCCAATATAATGCAGCATTGGGTCCACCATATCATATCTTGGTCGATACCAATTTTATCAACTTTTCGATCCAAAATAAGCTCGAACTCGTTAAATCCATGATGGATTGTCTTTACGCAAAATGTAAGTTTTACTTAAGAGAGTAAGGACATTGACAGCATGCTGACCTAACATTCTATAGCTGTTCCTTGTATCACTGATTGTGTATTGGCAGAATTGGAGAAATTGGGACCTAAATACCGTATTGCGTTAAAGTAAGAAAGAGAGATAGATATGAAAAGAGAGAGAGAGAGAAAGATAACTAATTGTACCATAGGATTGCACGTGATCCTCGCTTCGAACGTCTTCCTTGCTCACATAAAGGTACATATGCAGATGATTGTTTAGTTAATCGTGTTATGCAACACAAGTGTTATATCGTGGCTACTTGTGATCGTGATCTCAAGCGTCGTATTCGTAAAATTCCCGGTATTCCCATCATGTTCATCGCCAACCGTAAATACACCATCGAAAGACTTCCTGAGCTTGGTGTCAACAACAAATAGATTTTCTTTTTTTTTGAATAAAATATAGCCATGTAAATATCCCTTAATCTAATCTTTTTGCTGTTGCTGCGAGTGAAAAATTGCTTAATGCGGTAAAAAACGTCATTGGGAATAAGCGCAGTTCCGAATCCAAATTTGTATAAAATAAATAATTTTTTTCTCTCTTTTCTTTTTGCTTTCTTCAATTAAAACAATGAGTAACAACACTATGAACCGTACTGCTCTTATTTTCGGTGCTACAGGTAAATAATTCGACTTTCCCGCTGTAAGTTTTTTATTGACACTTCAAGTCAGGCGCTGTCGGCAAACAAGTCTTGAAAAGTGTCTTGAAGGACGGAACATATACAAAAGTTATCACGGTCGGAAGACGTAGTGTTGAATTAGAGGACTCTGTTCCTCAAGATAAACTGGTAAGAGATCCTCCCCCGTGATTTATAGTCCCTTTATGCTCACTATATGTGTTAGGTCCAAAAAACAATTGACTTTGAAAACCTTGATGCGCATCGTCAAGACTTTAAGGATGTAAAGTAAGTAGTGGCATTTAATTTAAATTATCATATCACAATAACACACATTATCCAGCGACGTGTATTGTTGTCTTGGAACCACTCGTGGAGCTGCTGGTAGCGCAGAAAAGTTCATCAAGTTTGATCAACAATATGTCCTGGACTCTGCAAAGATCATTGCCCAAGAAAATAAGGTGGATGAGAATAAATTGGCCCCTGTTCATTATCTTTATTGTTCAACAATGGTAAACATTGCATAAGAAGTGTGCTCTACATAAAAAAAAAAACTAACGTCCTATTTTAGGGTTCCAATAAGGATTCGGTCTTTTTGTATCCCAAGACAAAAGGACAAACCGAAGAAGCGCTTGGAGAAGCAGGTTTTGAAAAGGTCTCAATCTTTCATCCTGCCTTTTTGGAGCCTGTTGAACCTCGTAAACCCTTCAGACTTGTAGAAACCGTTGCATTCGCCATTTACAACCCAATTAATCGTCTCTTTGGTCTCAGTTACGTGACATCGGTTGACACTGTAGGCGTTGCCATGCATAAAGTTGCGGAGAATGCATCCATCAAGCCTACCGATCCCAAGAATATCAAGAAATCAACCATTGGCTCTTTGGTCTCTCACTTTACCAACTCTGAAATTCATACCATTGGCGGTGCACCAAAATAATTTTCGAAGAAATATAATTTTTTTTTTTCTCATCTCATTTAACCCCCCATTCCTTCTTTCTACACTTTATAAAACATGAAGGATCTTGATGCACTTGCTGTAAGCATATTACTGACCTCTATGCTGTTTCACTATAATATGATAATAATAATAATAAAACATTGACACGTATTTTTTTCTATCAAAACAGTTTACAGTCGAACTCGGGCAGTTCTACGAAAAGTCAAAGACAGCAGGAACTGTGTCTGTTACCATGAAGAGAAGTAAATACGGAATAGGCATCATCCTTTCATTCATCTGACACCCTACTTTCCATTAGTGACTGCACCTCGATTACTCCAAGTCTCCAAAGTAAAGAAAGCCATGCCCAAAGGCGGCAATGCAGTCGTGGAAGCCGAATCTAAAGATGATGTACAATACCCATGTCTTGTCCGTGCCGTTTACAAAAAGCACAAGATCAGCACTATTGTACAGTGATTTTTTATTTTTTATTTTTTATATGTTTATCTATCTGAAATAGGAGGGATACTGACCTTTTTTAAAAATATTAGATTGCGCCAGACGATTTCGATAGATTCCAAAACGCTTACAGCACAATTATTAGAGCTTATATGGATTCTTTAAAGAAGAAGGATCGTTCTAAAAAGGCAAAGAAAGTATCGAAATAAACTCAGTATAGCAATAAAACAAAAACAAAAAAAAGATTATGACAGTAATGTGTATGTTTTCCAGCAAAAGAAGAAAGTTTTGGATAGAGTTTAATATATGGGGGGTTATTTATTGGTTTTGATTTATCCAGGGCCAAATACTTTTGAGACATTAGTGGGATCGCTTGCTGACATCAATCGTGTTGCGAAATGCTGGCCAGCATGAGACATGAGATGAATGTTTCTAAAAGTGTCTCGCAGCATTTCGATCGAACCATAAAACAGTAGATAATCGTTTTGATTATAATTCAATGAGTCCGCTTTGCTTGCTGCGTAGTCAACCAAATCAAGCAGATATCCTATTATTTTCATATAATCTTCCTCCAACTCAGTCCACTTTTGGCATCGAAGATCCTTGTTTGGAGCATGAACAAACCAAGCTGATAAAAGACACCCACCAGCAATCAAATATTCATATAGTGCTCTTTCACTACTATCGAACATCAACAGAGGAATAAGAATAAAAGTGCATGCAGCGAAAAATCGATAAGCCATTTTTTCCGTATCTTCGTCGGATGTTGTTTGACTTGGTCGCGTTGCTTTGACTTCTCCAGAGGACACTTTTTTGTTGAAATCTAAATGCATGCATCGTATGGCTACGTTATCTTCTGTCAAACTTGTTATGGTAGAGTCATACACTTTTTTGGGGGGGGGGCTCCATATAAGGAATTGACTTCATCTTGCTAACACGTAGCGTTATATCGGTAAGTACATCCTGCAACATCCCATTCATATCGTACCCTTCGAAGATACTCATCATTGGTAGTCCTTCCATTAAGCAGGCGAGGTAAAAATCCACTTCCTGACAGATGACGGAAATGTTTTCACAGTATTTAAATACATAAATACAAAGATTGTCCCAGTCTTCATATGAATCAGAGTAATCAATTCCCGATTGCTGGCGAAATTCGATTATGTCGTGCCAGAATCGTAACGCGTCTCCCGACATAAATTTAGCCATGTTATTGACTTCATTTTTTAAATGCAGTAATAGACCGATGTAGTCAATGTTGAGGACTGTGCTGAATTGGTGGTTTGCCGACATTGTTTTTTTCTTTTTTTTTTTTACCATGTAACGAGGTTAAGATAGTTTTTTAAGATATATGCATCGTTTTTATAGATAAAAATATAAATAGCTCTTTTTATATATAAATTGCTGAAATACCTTAGTACTCGGCGTTTATTTTGTATTAACGGTTGTTACATAGAACTTGACTAAATTTAAAACCTGTTTTTGTTCATTTGAGGCGGAGGGGTCTTTTTACCGGCGTATAAACAGATGCTTAAAAATGCAGTTACTCTTCATTTTGTTTGTGATACTGTCGATCGTTCTTTAGTTTTGGGCGTTGAATTGTGTGAAATGTACAAACCACAAACAACATACTGATTATTTTAGACTAGAACTTGTTGCTAGTAGTCCGTCAGTAGTCCACTATCTCTCAGAATACTGCTGCCATATACCATATAGTCTCATCGTAGATGTGTTTATACTTTTGTGAATTATAACGATTGCATTTTGTAATTGTTTTGTTTCAACAATTATTTGTAAATATTGTTTTACATAAAGTTTTATTGGACTTTGAGGGGGGAGGAGGAGGATTTAAGCTGTTAGAACATTGTCGTAATTTGTTGCTAAAATTAAGTCCCTTGCTGCCATTTGGCTAGAGTAAGCCATGGAATAAAGTTGATTAAAGGCATACTCCAACCTTATAGTCGATTGTCTGCTGGTTTTATTATTGGAATATTTCATTTTACGTAATACTATAATTTGGTCATCCACATTCTTTCTTAAATCCGATGTAGACTTGACGCAGTGACTTAAGAGTTCGCGCATATTTTTTTGTCTTGCATTGCTGTAAGTGTCATATAGAGATCCAAATCTGAAATATACAAATCCAGCCACAATTAAATTTTGACAGTAATCGCCTGCCCAAGCATTATCCCAAAGAACCAATATAGGAATAGAAAAGGTGCAAATGCAAACAGCCCATAAACCATAAAAAAGCAGACACGGTATTGTTTGTTTTCGAATCGACAGTGCTCGTCTTGACTTTACGGCTACGGGGCAAAGAACAAGTCTATCGTCTACAGTATTGACAATATTTATGAAGTCATCCGACACACCTAATATCGCCTGCATAGTGCAAGTGTTCATCTCTTCTCCTATATCCAATTTCTTAAGGTGGTCGCTCATCTTTTCAAAAAAAGTGGTCGTGCTTTTGTAGTTCTTGTAAATGAAAATGCACACTTCATCCCAATTATAGAAGGGCACTGGGTAAAAATATTCTTCGGTTGTTATCATGTAATTAAATTCATATTTCAAAGACCCTGACACGAAAACGTCAATAAACGTTTTCAGATTATAAAGTCTTCGCGAAATTAACTCCAACAATTCTATTAGGTCTGCTTCTTTTTTATGTCCATCAAATCTGCAGCTCAATAGCTGCAGAAGAATGTCTTTTTATACGTACTGATGATTGCCCTGCTCATTAGATTGATTATGTAAATCAAAAATTAAGTCAGTTGATGTAAATAGATTTATGGATGTAAATAAAAAAAACATGTTTATCACTATTTATCTTTGCAAAATAAAGTGGGGTAACAGGTTAATGTTAGATATCGGAAGAGAGTGTTATGTTGTCATTGTTCATTATATGGTTATGAGTTAGACTTTTTCTTCTTTTAAACTTAATCGTAAATTTTGTGATTTTATCAAATTACAACATATCAAACTATGGATCTCTTTTGTTGAGAATGGGGTAAAACTGCACGCTTTTATTATTGGTATTACAGACATAAAAATATAAAATCCTGTACTGAATATTTGAGGAAAAATTACTTTTCAAGAACACTGGGTCGATTGGTAGCCAAAATGAGGTTCTTTGCCGATTTTTCACTTAAATAAGCCATAGATTGGAGTTGACTGAAAATATGTTGTAGATCCCTATTTAGTTGGATCAACCATTGTCTGTTTTGTTCATTAGCAATTAATTTTGGGCGCAGCATTCTGTACTGGTAATCTACTTCGTAGTGGAAGACAATTATTGATTCTACGCATTTGTCGCACAATTGATAAACCTTTTGTCTTTTTTTGATATTGTAGGAATCAAGTCCAACTAACAGGACAAGACATGTAAATATACTCACGACTGCATTCAGGTAGTATTTGCCTGTCCAAGATCCATCCCATACAATTAACAGGAAAAAGAAAGGGATATATAATGCTACAACTAATTCAACGTGATGACCTAAACATTGTTCTACCCATGTTCTCCTGATTTTTATTTTTGGGTTTGGGTCATTTTCTTTGTAGTAGACTTTTTTGATTTTTTCGGTTGCAGGATGGTTAATTATTTTATCGTCTATGCTATTAACAAGATATTTGATTTCATTTGGTACTCGTAGGATTTCTGACAGATTGCAATGGCCAATGTTGTTTTCCGTTTCCAGTATATGTCGGATAGCATCAAGGTGATCATTCATTTTTTGGCATATGAGTGTCACATTTTTGCAGTTGTTGTATAAAAAGATACATACATCATCCCAGGTATGAAATGCGTCAGGATAATAATTTCCTTCTGTAAATATAGGAGAGTCAGCATATTCTTCCACCAAAAAGGTACGCACATTAACAATCATTAAAACCTGAAGGTTTTCGAGTCTCTTGAGCATCAATTCCAGTACACCAACTAAATCTTCTTTGTTGCCAAACACTAAACTGGATCTAACAAAAGTAGGCATACTTTTTTTCCCAAAAAAAAAAAAAAAAAAAAAAAACAACAAACTTTTTATATAAAATGCCTGTTACCCAATATAGATTAATACAGATACGTCTTTTGATCAAATAAGCAAGAGAAACTCCTTGGCTTGAGGATATAATTAAAAATGCACAAACTTTTAAACTTGTTTGTTGATATGTAATCACGTGAAAATTACATGCTACTTTAGGTCCGGAGTCAAATGATGCTACCATGTAAGCACCACACGCTTTGTGCACAAACAAACATACTTTGAAGCTATTATATTATATTTTTATATTGTAGTGTTAGTGGTAAAGTGATTTTATTAGAATAAAATAAATTCTATTCAGGAATGTTTATAAGCGGGTTGCTTTCCATTAGTATGCTTTTTGCTGTAACTTGGTTGGAATACGCCAGACACTGAATTCGTTTAAAAGTTTTCTGTAGCGTTTTTACCATTTCGATCAGTTCTAAACTTTGTGATGAACAATGTAGTATTTGTGCATCTATATCAGCAAGTTGAATATCAACCTCCCATGTCAGATCTCTTAATTCCTGTAAAAATTCAATTGTACCGTCTATCAAACTATTTGTGTGTGAAGTAATGGGATTGACAGATTGGCATGTTGTATTTGGCTGGTGATCTATAATAACTGGTTCCTGTTTTTCACGATCGTATGAATAAATTGCATAATAATTTACTGAAAGACATATCAACACGGCCAAGTAATTTCTAATGGTTCTGATATCAGCCATCGCTATTCCCATAGTAAAAATGAGGCTATATATGGTACTCAAACAAACAAACTCCTTTGCCACCTTTAAGCGTAAACTATCTAAATAATCGAATGTGGGTACTATCTCTCCATCATAAAAAATGGCCCTGTTGTTGAATTTTGTGATCACGTCTTGTATGTGAGTCATTTTGCTGTTGATTGGACACATGGATGGCTCGTTATAATGGAACTTTTTTAGTGAATCAACAAGTTGCTGAATTCCGTTTGGAACTTTTAAAATGGATTGCTTCTCGAATTTGACAATTTGGTTTTCTGCTTGCTGTATTTTAATGACAATATCGAGGCGCTGATTTACTTTTTCACATATCGTTGTTATATTTTCCCAGTCCCCGTACAAAAAGAGACATACATCATCCCAATCATTGAATAGATCAGAGGAAGTTATTTTTGTCTTTTCACGGTATTCACATATCTGACTACTTAAAAGACCAAAGCATTCTACGTTAAAAACCACAAGCGTCCATGCCCTTTCGGCAAATAGTCCCAGTAGTTCTAACACGCCTTTGTTGCTGTCCATTGAGCTATAAAGTTTATAACCGGGATTTCTGTACCCTTATATATTTATTATTAAGTTACTTTTTTAGATAAAAATAAAGCGGATTCCAAACTATGTCGGTTTAAACTTACTAGAGTCATATGACGTTAAAATCACATGCATTTTATTTTAATTTCTGATTTTGCTTCAGCAAGTTTTATGCAACTGTTACCCAATACAGAATGATCGAAAAGTTTCTTTTTTATTTATTATTTTTCTTTGACGATACTAGCAGAACTGGTTGCCAAAATAAAATCTCTTGCTGCTTTCTGGTTTAAGGAAGCTACAGATTGGAGCTGGCCGAAAGTATTACACAATTCTCTAATTAGTCCAATCAACTCTCTTCTATCAAAGCCATTGTAATAGCGTATTTTTGAAGACAGCACTTCGAGCTGGTAGTCTACTTCTTTTTGTAAAGAGTTCATACTGGAACAAGATTCATCGATAAGTGTGCAAACTCTATTTTCTTTACTTTCGATGCAGAAAACATATGTACAGCATGAAACAATCCACATAAGCACACAAAAGAATACATTTTTGTAGCTTCCACCCGCCCAAGTACCGTCCCATATTACTAGCAAGAGAAAAAGGGGGCTGTACATCCCAAGAGCACTAAATAAACACCAAAAAAAACAGTCCATCCATGTTCTTCTGAATTTCATTGTTGTCTTCGTATTTTCAAATATTGAATAATAGAGCCTTTTGTGTAATGCAGTTTCAATATGTTCGAACATTGTGTCATCTATACTATCGACAATTTTTTTGATTTCATAGGGTACCCGTAAAATTTCAGGCATGTTGTAATTTATATTTTTACCTCCTGTTTCCAACTTAAATAAAGTAAAATTAAAATTGTCTTCAAGTCCTTTGCATACAGTAGTTATATTTTTGCAGTTCTCGTATAAGAAGACACAAACATCATCCCAACTTTCAAAGGAATCTAAAAGAAATTCTTCTCCATCGTCGTTTCTCATTATACTTGGTACATTCATTAGTGACATACAAGGCGAAATAAAACTTGAAAGGTCTTTGGTTCTTTTTGAAAGCAGCTTTAGTAAACCTAATAGACCTACTATGTCCGATACGGTTTTATCCATTCCAGTTTCTGTTAAGCCATGGAAAGATTATGTGAATTGGTCTCTTTTATATAAATAACTAGGCTAACATGTAAGTTGGTTGTATAAGAAAATAAATATTGATGAGTTAATTTTTCCTCAAACTTGTTTTCTTATGTTGTATAACGATAAGATCTCGTGTATTGTTTACAATTTTAGCTTATATAAACATACAGGAAGGCTGCAGCAAAATCAAAAATAACGCAAAGCAAAAACTTAATTGGGATTATGATGTGATCTATAGCAACTAATTTTTATTACAATGCCATAAACTTTTTAGAAGGATCGCTGTCTAAAAGAAGGGTTCTTGCAGCATTCTTGTTTGAGTTTGCCATAGACTGCATTCGTTTATATACTCTTTGTAGCATAGTAGTTAAGTAATGCAACCCAACACTTGGTAATGGATAATAGAACACTCCCACGTGCAGATCTCCAATGAGAATATCGACATCCCTGATAAGCTCTTTTGATTCATCAACAAAGTCAAATGTTCTTTCTGCTAAAATATTTTTGTGTTTAGTCATTGGGCTAATTCTCTCCCGTGGCGCATTAAGCTTTTTTAAAACTTGCTGCTTATCGTAGTTGTCTTGACGAATCAGAAAATAGTCTACTAAAAGACACGTAAATACAGCTGTGTATTTTCTAATAGTTCTAGTTTCAGCCATCATTAACCCAAGAGTAAAGCCCAAAGCATATAGTGTTATAATACGTATAGCAATTACAAGTTCTCTGTCCTCAGATCTTTTAGTAGCAATACTGGACTTCGATTTACTCTTTCCATAATGAGGAGCAGCTATATTGTTAAAATCATCTATTAATCTTGTGATAACAACTCTGCTGTTGTTGAGTCCATACTTGCTAGAAGGGTCACTATAATAAAAAAATTCCTCTAGTAGTTTAACAAGATGTTGGATTTCCTTTGGCATTTTCAAAATTGCTGGCATATCAAACTTGACAACGGACTCATTGGTTTGCTGTATTTTAGAAATTGCATCAAGGTGTTCGGTTACTTTGTGACATATAGTTTCGATATTTTTCCAATCCTTGTATACATAAAGACAAACTTCATTCCAATCGTTGTATATATTTGATGAAGTGTTTCCTGTAGCTTCACGAACGTCATTCACACGGTCTCCAAAGTAACCCAAATCATCCACATTAAAAAGCATCAACATGCACATAGTTAAAAGATTAATTTCGTGCAGTCAATTATGTCTCAGTTTTGGTATCGGTTGGGTCAATACCAACCAAACAATTGACATTAATCCGACAAAGTGATTTCTGTCGGGTGGAACAATACCATGCAAAGATTGACAATCGAATTTGCTTAACTTGAATATAGTGGGGGGATGGGTTGACTTTAAATCTTGTAGTAACACATTTTGTGATGTAAGCTGCAAGCAACTATTTAAAGTTATGCAAACATCACGTTCTCCGATGACAATTGTTATTTTTTTTTGTGGAACTTCAAACTTTGTACATTATGCAATTCATCAAATAAACAAACGATGCAAATCGTGGCTAAACAAATAACTTAATTACTGAATGATCTCATGTATCTGAAACTAAAAGCTTAATCTATTATTACTTTTGAGGTCTTTATAAACATTTGTATTTAACGCTTCGGGAATTGTCAGGGTTGATCCTACACTACTCGCACAAAAACACACAAAAACACACACATACACACACATATACACACATATACACACATACACAAAAGGGTAAGGTTTCATAAACGTTACTCGTTGCATATAGCAAATTATTCGATGTATAAGGGAATATTATGAGGAAAGTATATTCTATTTTATTTTATTTTATTATAGAAATAGTAGAAAAACAGCGCTATGTATCTTTTTGTCTAAGTATTTCCCGTATCAGACCTCACAGTAGAGTAAACCAGCGCAATTCGCTACGGCCAAGCATTAGAATTAATTACGCAGAGCAGTCGCGTTGTTCCTGTATTTTTACAGCTTGCATAACCTTTTGAAAAAAATTAGATACGGGTATGCTTAATAAGATATTGTTTTTGTGTACCTACTGTTAAACTGACTTAATGGTCCGGGAATAGAGGTGGTTAAGCTGATATAAAAAACATTTAAAGTGCACCTAAGAAATACGTCCAAATGATAGCCTATAATAGATATGCATGTTTGGATTTCAAAGAACTAAAATAAAGCAATATATGGTTAAAAAATTTGGCATGACAAGTATGGGAGTAAAGCATTACATTTTAGAAAGTTTGAACAAAAAGAAAGAAAAGATATTAAAAAAGCCGAAATAATTGTTTCCTTCTTTTATATTTTCTTCTACACCGGAGGCAACTGATGCTTCGTAATATGCATGAGTGGAATAATACTTAAAAGACTTGATAGTATGTTTGTCAATAAAAATCACGTTAAACCCTAAAAATTGAAAGTCCATTTATACTAGTCAGGTACCAAAGGTCATACACAGTTTCGGTCCCAATTGGAATATCACAAAAAAACATAATATTGAATGAGAGCTCATCTGTGTATATATGATTATTTCACGTTTTTCATCCAGAAATTACTTATTCTAAATATGACTAGACCTACCAACCCCTCTTCAAGATATTCTTCTTTGCCTAACAGAGCAACTAGAAGTCGTAGTAGCTCCGTCTCGTCGGTGACAGACAATATTCAACAAGAAGATATGGTATCTATTGCTCCCATGAATACGTCGCAATTAAGCAGCAGAGATGATTCAGCAACTGTTGGTGCCTTTGTAAAATGTTTTCAGATAACAGGAATTAAAAATGATCTGAACAGTATAAAAAATGAGGTCAAGGAAGCCATCGTTACCGGAGAAATTTTGAGGGCACGACTTGACATGGTGGAAGATAAAATTGACAAAATATTGTCTATTCTTTCCGGTGAAGCTGCTGTTTCTTCAGCTACCCCCGCATTGACTAATGGAAATGTACCTCCTTTCCAAATAGGGGGTGCACTTTACAATAGTTTGTCGGTATGTCACCAAGAATAGAGAACCGTTCATATATCTAATCTACCTTGTAATTATAGGCCTGGATTAAAACGTCCATTGCTAACCAGAAGGTTGGTAATCTGGAGTGGAACCTATCTAAGGCATTTATGACGGTAGAGAACACCCGTATAACTAAAAATATTATCGATTTTGTTGGTGCTCAAATCACATTGTCAACCAAAAAGAACTGGACGGAATCCATTACCTACAACGATCTTCAAAACAAGATCAGAAATGTCTTTCGCCGTAAGCAGGATAACGAAAAGCAATCTCCCGCAGCAAAGCTTTTAAAAAATAAGAAAAGTACAAGAAAGGGAAGAAGAATTTCTGTAAGTTACGAATATGCAAGGCGTTTCCAAGGTTAATATTTAATATAATTGTAGAAATGCAAGCACAGAAAAAACGTGATGGTCAACGAGGAGTATGGCAAAAAAATGAGAGATGCTTATGGTGATGACATAGAGAAGCTCTTGATAGAGCAACTCCAAAGTGACGAGGAAAGCACGGATTCGGAAATAGGGATGACCGAAAAAAACTCACGCTTGCGGGTTATGGTGCCCCATTGGCGCACAAATGAGGTATACAATATGAGTGTATTCCTATTAATAGAATACATACTAAATCAATTCGTCTTTAGGCTCGTCGCGCCTTTCAACATTTCGATGAGTATGATCTCATTTTGAGAAAAAACGCCCAAAAAGAAAAGGAGACAAAGGATACGGGACGTTTCAAGCATGTGGTGATCAAGCCCGAATTTCTAAATCAGGCACCCGACTGGGCCCGAGTTCCTGAATTGTAAATAAACAATTTTTTTCTTCTTTTTTAATCTGCTCCCCCTTTTCCAACAACAATTTTTTACATATTCATAGTGGTTTATTGAAATTAAAAAAGGGCATAGGTGAATTAGCTTAAACATATATTTTTTTTTCTTGAGGAATTATTACAATGCAGCCGTTTTGAATTCGTGGATTACTAGAATTGTCAGAACTACATGCAACCGTGATTGCGTTGTGTATTCTATGTACAGGTAAAATCGAATGAACATTTGTATTTTCATAGCCTTTGCATATTTCCATAGTTTCATTTTCTAAAATGTTGTTACCAGGGTTGACGGGGATAAACCACCGTACGAAAGCGAATGTGTGGGGGGTAACACTGCCGTTAACATTTACGACGTGTTGAAAGAAATATTGTATCTCGCCGTAAAAGCAGGCAACGGACTCCGACGAATGATTGTTTTTAAAGAATGTTTGAATATACGCACCTTTCATCGATCTTGCCATACGGCTTTTGTACATAATATCAGATTGAAATTGTTTGGATATTCTGGCGTCGGCACCAACATAAATTGAAGGAATGTTATTGGAAAGTGAATTACCATGGTTGTTGCATAGATTTGTCGTGGTTAAATGAAAGAGATTGGTGAATGAACGATTTGGGTAGCATAGAGTGTAATATTCAATAAGAAGCATATGGTGTGAAGGATCGAGCGGAGTGGATTTAATTTCATCAAAGTTAGTAGGGATAATATTCGGATGAGAGTATAGCATTTCTGATCCGGTCACCACACCTCCCGAATTGGTATATTCATAGGAAGACAATTTGTAAAAATTAATGCGATCTTGAGGACTGGAGCTTGTGTATAAGGATTGGTTGATAGCGCTGGTGTTGTGGAGAATGTGGGCTTGATCTTTAGAAATGATATTGGTGCTTGTTAATTGTTTAATGAGAGACGAGATATGAATGCTTTCCAAAAAATTTGTCATGTACGAAGTTTGAATTGATCGAAGGTTTCTATTCTCTGTCGACTGCTTTAGGACACCATTCATTCTTTCGAGAGAGAAACAAGAAGTGTTGAATGTACTGCCATAGTATTCAATATTTTCTGACAGGTGGAGGACGTAATGATAGTTAGGTTTGATTGCCTCAGGGCCGAAAAGTACCACATAGTCTTTGCAAAAACAGCGGAAGAGTTCTCGTGCTTCGAATGCCTGGGCTGTAGTAATCGCGGGTTGTACAACAATTCTACAAGCTTGCACAAATTGTAACCAGTTTGCATAATGCTTTTTATGAAATCCATCAACTAATCTATCAGAAACAATCATGTACTTTAAGACATATTCGGAATAGTGCAAGGTCCAGATTTCGAATTCGATGCCCTTCATATAAGAAAAACCTCCTTTTATTTTGGCATGTATAGAGCTGCAACCGTTGGGCGTGATGATACTTGAAGCGAGTGCGGCCATACTGGAACATTTTTACACAAGGTTAGTAATGACATTTGCGTATATATAGTGTCATAAATTTATAATACCTCTGATAGTGTTGTGGTTTAAAAAATCCAAATTCTTCATACTTTGACATAATTGATTTTGCAAGACCCAGCCAAATGCAATGTAAATGATCCTGGGTGGTAGCTTTTACAAGATCAAGGTACCTCAAACTCCTTAAAACGCTATATCTCATACCGTGGGCCCTGTCTTGGCGATGTCTTTCGGCGTTATTATGGCTATTTAACCACTTGTCGGATTGAATGTCATTCAGCTTCTTATTGGCGTTTGCAGGATAATGCACAGCATCAAAGCCGGAATAATCCAAATTAGATGTGTCAGGAAAAACTTTAAACGATCTATCACATCGGAAACATGATCGCGTAGAAGAAAATCCAGTAAATCCGCTCAATTTTCGTTGCATGGGTAAATCGCACAAGATTTGATACAAACAGGCTCTGACAGTAGCACCGTAATCTTGGCCATGTTTTCCAGAGTTGAATGTAGACATTTGAACACCAAAATACAAGGAGCGAAGTTGGTTTGTAACAATGGATAATAGGCGTTGTGTTTGACAAGTGTTGGGTTCATGCGGTCCTTCGATTAATGCAAGCAGTATCGTGTTTTCTTTCTTTATGCGTTCCTCGACTGGTAAATTATTTACTTGCAGATAAAAAGCGACGCAAGAAGCGGAGGTAGTATCATATGGTTGGAATCCATCTATGTTTAACTGGGTTGTAAGTATATCTCGTCTTTACCTTTTTTTTTTTTTTTTTTTTTTTTTTTTTTTTGTATTCTAACCTGCATTCAATGTCAAACATAAAGATCTACTGCTGTTTACAAAAGGGTCGCCACTGGGAGAAAGAATGCTTCTCCACATTTTTCCCTGGGAGCAATGGTACATCATATCAGTTGGGTTTACAGCCTCTTCAAAACTACGCCATTCTTCACACTTCTCCTCGAATCCTTCTCTCAGATACAACTTTTGGATCGAACTTATAAGACAATGGTATACAAACTTTTTGATTGGAGTATCGGAACCGTTTTGAAATAATGGGGTTTGACAAGGTACTTTTTTGAGGATATTGATAAATGTACATATTTGTGGAGGCCCAGGCTGTGTTAACCCGTTGCTTGTAGCATAAAGATAAACTGAATAGCATTTAGGACAAGTTGCGTAGACAGTCATATCTTTGGTAAGATCGATAAATCCAGTTTGAAGCTTGATCGTGGGTAACGATTTTGGAAACTCAAAATTGCTGAATAGCATACGGAACAGATCAAGTAATTTGTGTGTAGCGATGATAGTCAAGAAGTCCATTTGGAATATAAGTACAAAACAACAAATAAACAAGTAAGTGGGATCTTGTGGTATTCTGGGATGATTATTTTGTTGGACTACGATTGTTTCAATAAAGTTGCAAATATTTATTCCGAAATTCAAGCCTACCTTTTTTTATGATAAATTTTTCACCTTGATCATCCAAATCATCTAGCATTTTGAGAACTTCATCGGTCCAATATATCTCACTGCTGCTTTCGACAATAACCTGATTTTCATTATCATCATTTGCATCAATGCTATAGGATTGATCAAAGATAAAGCCTTCTTCATAATCGCGCTCATCATCTTGAAACATTACTCAGCATCATGTTATAAATCATTTTTTTGTATGCATACCTGAAGAGCATTCATCCTGAAAATGGTTATCAACTTGAGTCGAACTGATATTAACATGTGCAAACTCTGCTTCAATAACAGATACGTTCAAACGTGAAAATTCTAAGCTGGTGTCTACTACGGCGTCATCTATTAAAATTTCTGTTAGTATAGATTACAGTTTGTTGTAGGTAAATATCTGATGAGGGTTACACACTTTCTTCTAGTTCATCCAAACTTCTTTTGGAAGCTGCCGCCTTTTGGCATGACTCCTCGTACATTTTTTTTTCGGCATGTCGTGTAGCAGTATTGATTGGAACTGAGCAACCGCCACACTTGTTGCAATGGCAAATCTTGGTCCTTTTTTTTGTAGAAGACATTATGATAGATGATGGAATTTGTACCCGGTTTTTTTACTTTATATACAGGGCAACAAAGACGTGCCCAATATACCAATAGAAAATTTACTGACACATGGTCACACTAAGTCGGATTAGTTGTCAATGCAACTGTTTGAAAGGCTGAGAGTGGTACACAACTCCCATCGCACCTCTTTTTTTTTCATGTATGATGAAACGACAGAAGAAATAATGTCACACGACATTTTTGATGCATCATAACGACGTTTTCGCTTTAAAAATTACTTTCTATGTCCAATCGTATTAGGCATTATTTGTACATTTTATTTAGCTCAAGCAGATATGCTTTATTGTGCAACCTGAAAAATAATCATAGGATACTATTACATATAACATATTCTTTTTATGCTTTAATGCTAATCTTGAAGCAATAAAAACTACTTTTACAGATAAAAAAATGGAGTGTAAATGTATGCTCTATAAAATACACAATATCCATCAGGTATAAAATAATTCAACCAAAGTTTTTTTGTTTGTATTTTTTGTGAGAAACTTTATCTTGGTTTTTTTTTATTATTGCACGTTCTACTTATTGTTCTGTGAGTATATCAAGCTCTGATGAATTGAGCAATGTTCAGATTTTATCTTTAATGATAACTGATATCAAAAATCTTTGGAACATTTCATAAATATTCAACAATGTCGCATCTTTTGGGAAACACATGACATACATTGCTGCATTAATTACGTACTCAAGCAACATAAACCCACCATTTGTTTTTCAGGAGCTGATATAATTGGCTTTGGACGGTGAGTCAAATAAACTTGTCGGTATTGTTCTTTTTAAACAAAAACGATGCTATTCCGGCATATTGGTTATATCACGAATTTGCGTTTTTAACACTGTGATGTATGCCCTTTTATAAATTAGATCCAACAATTTTATTAAGTCTACTTCGCTGGTGCTGTTCATCACCGATAATTAGTTTTTAGGTCACTGTCAAATTTTTTCTCCCTTTTATATCGATTACTAGATTGATTGTGTAATTAAAGAAAATGCATATTTAAATCAGATTCTAGATCTCTTGGTCTACATCGTTGTACAGAGATGCCCCTTAATATTTTAGTAGGGCGTAAAGCTGTATGTGATTTTGCTTATTCGTTTCAACAACTCTCAGTAAACAATGTTTATTTATCAGAAAAAAGATAACATATGCTAACCTTATAAACGTATTTATTTTTTAATTAATTTGTATGGATAAAAAAATATAAAAGTGCTGCATTTAACGCGTACTCTTTATAATCACATTACTCGATTTGTAAGAAAACAGAATGTCTGAGATGGAAATGGCACGCTACGCCAAAACACAGACATAGTAGCCAAATATAGACTATACACACTACAAAATTATTATTTTTTTAACAAAACTTGAAATGAAGTTAAATCAATCAATTCTAAACATAAATGCAAGCTTTTTTTTTTCGTTAACTAGAAATGTTTGTCATAATGTATATACAAAACATACGCATATTTTAATTTACTCAATCATTTTTAAATGGCTCTCAAAGGTAACTTTTTTTTTAGTCGTTTAATTATGTTTTTAAATGTACTAAAACGTTGAGAAAAACTTGGAAAGTACGTTTAAACCAAAAACTCATTTTTTAAATTTTTTACTGTTGGTATAAAACCGCTTTTTTAGACCCTAAAAATCATCAAAAAAGGGGTTGTAGCTCAAATGGTAGAGCGCTCGCTTAGCATGTGAGAGGCACTGGGATCGACGCCCAGCTACTCCATTTTTTATTTCTGGGGAAATCGGAGTTCGAAATCTGGAAATCCTTTTAACGGGCTGGGATAACATATCTGGGGGTTACTCAGACCTTTGGATCCTTCAGTGATTGGATATTGAATTTAAAAGTGACACTCAGCAGCCAATATATTTTTGATCCAAAGGCTGTTATTAAATACATCGACCAATAGTTTCTGAATCCAAAGGCTGCAGTTCAAAGTTCGACAGTTGCTGTTAACTTGGCATGAATGTAAGGACATATTCAGTACACCATCTTTATAATGGGTGGTTAATAAAATTCACTAGAGCCGACCACAGTTACCGAACTTCAATAAGAAATTTGGCCAATGGGGTAATATTTGATATGATTTCTTTATGACAACAATGTTATATAAAAGGGCTCATTATATACTTTTCTTTCTATTAATTAATTTAACTGTTGAAAGTTATTCGACAATTGAATACAGTTCTGTCTCCTCATTTAAACAATGGGCTCCCTGAAATTAGCTGTATCAAGATAAAGACTTGTTGAATTTATTGCATCAATAAAAAAAAATCATGATAAAAAAAAACGGAGTCAAAAAGGAGACATAAACAAAAAAAAAACACAATCAAAAAAAACACAATCAAAATAAAACATAATCAAAAAAACATAATTAAATGTTATAGAACAATAAAATACATGTGCATGATATTTATTTTTAGAAAATGAACCGTTTTTAAAAATACCAAGAACCCGTTGGCTCTTTGGAAAAGTATTTAAGAAGTACGTTACTTAACGGAGGTAAGCATCCCTCCTTTCCACTTTTACATACTTTTTTGTTTTGAATTGACTGACTTTTTGCTTATGAGCTTAAACGATACCTACAAAAACAAATCGGTGCGTGAAATTATACAAATGATGAAGGAGCGAAAGAAAAGGGCCATTCAAGCAAAGGAGGAAGGCGAAGAAGAAAACAAAGAGGAGGATAACGAAGGAGAATACGAAGGTAAATTACATGTCTCAAAATTTAAAACTTTTTGGTGATGACACTTACCCTTTTTTTTTTAGAATATGCTGAAGATCCTGGTCCGAGTACACCAGTTAAAAGAAGAAGGCAAAGCAGAAACAGAAAATACCAAGAACTTTTTGAGAAAAAAATGGAGAAGCAAGCGGGAAGACTTCAAAAGAAATCTAAAGTTGTAGCTGGTGATGGCGCAAAGAAGTGTAAACGATGTACAGAGGCAGGCGTTTATAATGAGGAAAGAGCTCATAACACGACTAGATCCCCATTGTGTCCTTTTCATCAGACTACGAAGCAAGAGGCAATAACTGCTGCATTAGAGACAAAAATCACTTCAACATTTACCAGAAAAAT